TGGGGGTCACTGGGAAGCCATTCAAGGTCCTCCTGCATGCTCAGTCCAGCTGGCTCCTACCTTCCATCCATTACAGTGTGTGAGGTTTGGCAGAGTTTGGTTCTCTGTAAAACAGCCTCCAGCGCTAGAGGGTCAAAGCTCCCCTTGCCACTCATCTGAAGATCCGGCTCCATGAGAGCCTTTGCCCTCCAGACAGCTGTGAGCCACTTCTTGGGGAGTCTGTGAAAAGGTTTTGAATTTCTGGGCTTGGCTGGAGCAATGCGCAAATGTTTGAGTCTGTATGGGAGGAGGCGACCTTCAAAACTAATTGGACACACAAAGGACCTAAGTTAAAGAGCCTCATCTGGGCTAAATAATGCATAGAAGGTTTGACTTTGGCTCAGAGGAAAATTGAATTAATGTACAGTGATAACATCTCAGTGAACTAATCAAGATAATTGCCGTATTCTTGATTTAAACAAATCCATTAATAAGAATTTCCGGATTCTGAAGCAGACAAACAGCAACTGCTAAGAAACTTTGTAAAGGCTGGTAGCAATTTTTTCAGGTCAAGTTGAAAAGCAGCAGCAACAAAGCATCAAGTAGTCACACAGCATCCTTTGTCTTTTACTGGAGGAGTTGAACAAGAAGTCGTTTCCCTGGCTGAGTTTCCAGATCAACTTCCTTTGCTGCTGATTATCACTGTTACTGTCACCAGTTCAATGGGAAGAAAAGTCTTTAATCCAGTTACTGGACAAGCTGAGCTGCATTGCATTAACTGACAGATAATGTCAAGCCCACTGCAGGGGCAGGAAAGGTCTATATAATGCTAAAACCCTCAAAGTAGTCACAGATCAGTCTTTGGAGACAGGCTAATTACTGTGGGGAGCTAAGTTTCACTCTCAAACAAAAAGGGAAACTGCACACCATTATACACTGAGTCTTACTCAGAGCTAAACCTGATAAAACAGGATTGTTAGAGCAGGCTTGGGTGTAGGATGTGTGAAAGGCAGAGCAGTAAGTGCTGTGAGTGAGTCTGCCACTGCCTGAAGCCAGCACCGGCCCTTTTCCCCACAGAAAGAAAGGGACAATGTACCAGTCCAGCATGAAGCCTTGGAGGACCTGGATTCCCTGGTGTGCCCTGAAGACAGACCTCCAGTACTGCATCAGTACATCCTGCCTCCTTTCCTCCTTTGCAGAGTCACACCTGTGTGCCCACATGTCAGAGCTCTTTGCAGCCTTATGGTAAAGGCTAAGAAATGGCCTGGTAAGAACAGCACCTGGAGGAGAACCAGAGATGCTGGCTATGTTGGCTGGAACTAGATGTTCTTGAAGGTCCCTTCCAACCCAAGCCATACTATGGTACTGTGATTCCATGATGAACACGTAGTGATGCCACTAGCACAACACCACGGCTCTGTCATGCTGGGTTTCTGATTTACGGTCCTTTGTAGACAGTCAGGTGAAAGGTAAATCTTTTGAGGATGCTCTTCATGGGTAGAAGAACATGGTGCCACTGCTGCAGTGTAAACTTGACAGCTGGATTTACTTTACTCTTAACTTTTTAGGCAGTCATGTCCAGCTTGCCCTGGCCCACAAACAACTATTGTGTGCTGTGAGAAACATGAAACTTTTCCGCAGAGTCAGATTTGATGCCTTTATCTCTTTGGCCAGGAGCAAAGTAGAAACATGAACTTCAACCTTCCCCTCAGTCAAGGCTGAAACCTCCTTTAGAGCACCTTCCAGCCACTCATGTTCACAGGAATTCTCAAAACTACTTAAGCCTTCCTAATGTATGTTTCCTGATGCTCTGATAGAGAAACCAGTAACATGAATGTAGTGGATGTTGATTTTATTTGGTTTACACCATCTTCTTCAGCTTCCTTGATAATAAGGAATTCAGACTTCATCCTGCCATGCCTGCACTCACCCCTGCAGCTAGTGCTTCAGTCATGCAAATCCTCTCTCTGGTGATATTGTATTATAAGAAAGGCATCAGAGTCCTGATCTAAGATACCAAGAAATGGAGAATATACTGCTTTCATGGTTGGCCACTCTACCAGTTAAATCATCAGCCTTACAAAATCACACCTTCTTGTTAACTTGAATTTCTCTAGCTTTGCTTTCCAGCCCCATACCCTTCTCAAGCCTTTCTCTGTTAGACTGAGAGTCCATCTCTAGGTGAGAGCTTTGGCTGACATGTTGTGATCTGGACACTTCCAGTCTCATTCATGTTGAGATAAATAGATCAAATCTTTCTTCTTCTCCCCATGAATGAATTTTTGAAGAGTTTTTCTGCCCAGCCTTCAATTTCCACTGTTCTTCATAAACTGCATTTTTATGACCTGACAATATTAGTCACATCAATGCTGCACAGGAAAAATCAGCTTCCTATTAGCCACTGCAAGTAGAGTGTGATGAGTAAATGTATTCATTTAGTTTGTCCATCCAAGCAACAAGTTAGACAGATTTGCCATGGAATCATGTGAGGATCACACTGAAGACTTGATGGCCTGCTACAACTCGGAGAGCCAAGGCTCAGCCCACTTACATGTGTATCCTGGCATCAGACTGTATAAGAACATATTTTGTTTAAATGAAATCTACTTTATCAAGCAATTGAAATATTTGACTCTTATTTCATATTCTAATTTTATCAGTCTGATTTTATATTCTTTCCCTGGTTACATATGCAAAACCTGGACAGAATCAATCCCTCTAAATCACTGATCTACCTTCCAAGTGCCTAGTGGACAGGAGAGGACAGGACAGGACAGGATAGGATAGGATAGGATAGGATAGGATAGGATAGGATAGGATGAAAAAGAATAGTCTCCGATTCAAGCATGGAAGATTTAGGCTGAGCATATAAAAAAAGCTTTCTAACAATAATAATAATACAGGTAAATACATTGTTATCACTAGCAATATTTATAAATAACTCAGATGACTGACAGGATCCATTTTACCAAACTGTAGACATCTGCAACATAAACATCTGTATCTGAACTCATAATTCTCTACTACCTTTGCAGAGATAAACTTTCAGAATACAACTCTTCTCATCTTAAAGGAAATACCTTTCTTATGACATAAGTCATAAGAAACTCCTCTTGAATGGGCCTGTTTCTCTCCACCTGCCTGGCAAGGGGAGGCTGAAGTAACTAATCCAGATATAGACTTTTACCCTGTAGTTTTATACAGCTGCATCAGAAACTGTCAGGAACAGTTAAACAGAGATAAGTGATCACAGGTTTGGATGAGGTATCTCTGAAGGCACAGTCACAATTCTATATTCAGTGATGCTGTGCTATCATACAGTGCTGACTTGCTCTAGTCGAGATTTTCATAGTCCAGCCACTAGAGAATACCGTCTTCCATTTAGCTCTAAAAAGCTTTCTTATGACTCTTCTGAAGTGCATAAAAGGACCAGAATGATGACTTTCACAAATGCTCTATTTTGTTGGACAGCAAGAAATAATGGATCACTGTTATAAATATATCCACAGAGCAAGTTGGTTTTGAGCTTCTGTCTCATTTTATCTCCTTTATATTTTCAGTTGCACTTTAAAATAAAAGATTATGTTTGAGGTATAAATCTGACCATTATTAGCTGTAATGTTTAGTTTGCTTCACTGTCTGTGGCTGCATCTGTTTTCAAGCACAGGAACTATAGGGTTTTTTGCAAAAAGAAAATACCGCCTTGATTTAGCACAATGGTCCTGACAGTATAGCTGGCTTTCACTCCTGTGGAGAAAAACACCCTCTTTTTCCTCCCTAAGGCCTTCCTCAAGCAAATTCAGAGATGGAGAGTATTAACTTGGATTCACTGAGGAATATTGCTACAGTAATTGCAAGCAGAACATTGATGAAATGCTAACAACATTTCAAAAGATTCATCACATGAATCTTTTCAAGGCAAGAGCAGGAGTAGTGAGTATTAAGTAAAGAAATTTGAAACTGGGCCTGGAACATTTTAAGGAGAGAACCAAAGCAACCACATATCAACACACAGATATGTGGATTTAGCCAGCTTTCCTTTCCTGAATCCCTTTTTTTCTTAGCAACTTTTTTGTTTGTCATCTTGGGAACTGTCTATTCTATCCAAACTGGTTTCTTACAATGGGTCTATTATTACGGCAGCTGAACACTTCCATGTAACCATTCAAACCATGTGGGAAATGATGCATTTAAAGGAGCATTTCAAACAGGTTACACTTGTAAATAAAAATTAAACTAAGGAAGAGGGAGGGGAAAGTGCTCTGAACAGCAGGATGAATCCTTCTAGGTGCTCTTCACCCAGTTATCTTTGTCCTTTTTTATATCAGAAATGTGTTCGCTTTGTGATATTTATAAGAAGGGAAGTGCTAACAGCAGTACAGAGAAGAAGTACAAATATTCAAGATACTGCCATCTCTGGGTTTTTCAATGCATCCTGTCTTCTCTCTGCTTAAAAACTCTTTGGGGATAGTCTTGAACAGTTCCAAGACTACTTTTAAAGCTTAGTGAGGCAAATTGCAACAGGAGGAATTGAGCAGTCCATTAATTACAGACTTGTTCCCAGAGCAAGCTCTCATTAGTCATTGCCAATTGTCATATTACATCAAACACTTCAAACAGGCTCAACAAAGACACTGCAGCATAGGAGGTAGGTGAAAACCTGTGAAAAAAGAGGCTCTGATGGATCTTTCATACTTCCAAGGCTTTCAAAGCCAAGAAAAATTTTCTGACACACAACCTAAATCTCCAGTCCTGACTACAGTTAAGGAGAACCAGGTGTCCAAATTACTTAGAAAAACTCAGCAGAAATTCTGTCTGACTCTTGACTTGGTAGAGGGAGCTTATTCAAGCTCTAATGCACCTACTGCCAGTATCTAGTGTTTGTGTGAAATCCAACACTCCCTGTTCAGGCCATTTTATTTGGACAATAATTCTGAACAGGGAATTAAATTCTACCAACCTTGCACGGTTCAGAGAACACAGAATGAAGTGAGCAGTGCCAATATTCATAAAATACTTACTCATAAAATGTTGTCCAACCATTTTCATTGCTTTTAGTGGCAAGGAGACCAGAGTTGCCGTGGTAAGTCATCATGGCTACTTCATGTCCCTGTGTTGTTACACTCTTGAGTGCACTGTTGGTACCAATTGTCACCCAGTAGACCTGGCCATCAGGCACCACCAGCCAGAGGGGCATCCCTGTGGAATCTCTTCGGATGTTGACTAAGTTGCCATTATTGTCAGTGATCAGGGTTATATCTCCGTCTCCAGAATAAGTAAAATTGTAAAGATAATCTCCAGTGGTAAGGCTCTGAGTATAAAGGTGCTTCCCACTGGTGTCAAACAAGTAGAGCTCCTGGTCTATGGGTGAGGATAACTCATACAGATTTTGTGTGTTGAGGAACGGTTTGTTTTTCCGAATGAAGCGGATTCGGATGTTCCCCAGATCGGCGACGTACAGCTCCCCATCTGCACACACGGCGAGGGAGGACGGCGCGTTGAGCTTGGCGTCCTTGGCGTAGCCGTCGTCCCCCGAGAAGCAGTCGCAGTTGGCATCGTTCTTGCAGTCGCAGCTGCTCGGGGCGCCGGCCACCAGGGAGATCTCCCCGTTGGTGGTGACCTGCCTGATGCGGTTGATCTTCTTCTCGTCGGTCTCCGCGATGTACAGGACCCCGGTATGGGACACGGCCAGGGCGGTGGCAGACTCCAGCGTGGCGTGGATTGCCACCTTGCTGAGGAGAAAGTGATCCATGCCTGGCACCTGGCAGTGCATGGGCCTCCCTGCCACGATGCGCACCTGGTGGTTCTCAGAGATCTGCAGCACAACGTTGTTGTCGAGGACGTAGAGTGAATTATCCATGGGATTCACTGCCAGATCTGTGGGCCATTCTAGGCGAACCTTCATGGAAAAACACACAAAGGAATTTTTATAGCAAGACCTTTTTCTACTGCATGATTGCTATAAATCAATCACAATGAGGATGGAATCAGCATGGATTGAAGGGGAAATGGTTGAAAAACTCCACAACTAATTATTACTTGATAGGTGGCCATAGAGGATATAACCTGCTGCGAGCAAGGGGGCTTAGCTCCTGGTCACATGAAGCAGTCACAGGGGGACACCCACACTCTGCACTGGAACACTGGTGGGAACAGGATGATGGACAGAGGCAAACCATTCCACGATTTTCGCTCTCCTGTGCTTTTTGAACTGATGGAAGCTGGACCTCATAGCAGAGACCTGGGACTGTAAATTTTGCTGTGTGAAGTGCTATGAAATCAGACACACAGAACAGTGATTCTTTTACTAAAGGATTTTTCACACAAGTGGCTGAACTCCTCTTGGTAAATGACAAGGAGGGATAGACACAAAACTGGCAGCTGTGCCAGCACATGTGAATATCTGTTATAACCTATGGTTTTCTGCTTTATGCTGCAAAAATGCAGAATAACAATTCACAGGAATCTCAGGCAATTTCAGTTCATGGAGTAGAATACTTGTGCCTTCACGGTGATTTTCACATTTCGTTTTAGCATAATGGAAAAATGGGTTCAGGAGTGACATATTGCAGTTCTACACTGATAATCCACTAAAACAGTGACTGGCAACACCACAAGCGAGTAAGCACTAGATTGACTTCATTTCTAGCTCTGCTTCTGCAATACACTCTTTTCAAGTGAGTCTTCTCTTTTAGTTGCCAAACCTAAAAAAATGCTTACCAACAGAATTCAGAACAATTTTTTTTGTAAAAAAACTCCAAGTTGCGCATTTTTTGGATTATTTTATTTTATTTCAAGTTTATATATATATAAAAAAATAATTCTTGTGCTGATGGGAACCTATCAGTTCCAGTATAGCTTCTTTGTTTTGAACCTTCATTTCCCACCATCCATCTCAGTTGCTGCTTCTTCTCATTTGTCTCACGTGACTAGGATTAGAGGAACATTTTGTAACCTTATTGGAAGGAGGAGTGGATGCCAGCAGAATCAGATCCAGGAAACCGTCTTTCACTGTGATTTTATTTAAAACTGAGAGACCAGGTAAGATTCAGGAACACAAAAAAATCCTATTTTTAAGGCCTGTAGTTCAACATCTGTGCTACAGCCATGCTTTATTTGATGCTTCTATATGCCTTTTCAGCATTTATTTTAAAGGATCAGATGTAAGGTATTTCGTCCATTGTGTCTTCTGACGCCTGAGTGCGTGAGGCTCATTTTCACTGCTAAGCAGTTTGCTGAGCTCTGTCTACTCTGGTTCTCTGCTTGCAAAATCTCCTTCCTTTTCTCAGCTCCTGGCCTATTTTAACCCATCTTGTAGTAAAACATTATAGCCTGTGGTTTTCTCTTTAATAATTCATGCCTCCATCCCTTCAGTGGTCTTTAAGCTCTGCAGTCTTCAGTTAGCATCAAGAGCTGAGTTTATTCTGAACTGACAAGGGAATTTTCAATTTCTTAAAAACCATTCCTTGTCAACAGTGGCAGCTAAATATTTCATGTCCTCATGTCCCAGGGAGCCTCAGGGACCTGGCAGAAAAGACCCTTCTATCTGCTGTAAATGATGAAAAGCTGCTTCCCAAGCTGGATTTTATTTTTAAATTAAGCTTGTATTCTTGTTTCTCTAGAACAGGAGTGGTTAATCTGCCAATCCCAGTACAGGTTAATCTAAAAATGGTTCCTGTCATTTTATGAAAGGAAAAAAAAGTCTTGAGCTGATACATGTTCATCTCAGAAGTGTTTGAACATGACGCTGGTTTACATAGGAGCTACATAACCTGGAAGTAAATAATTTCTAAAGCCTGATTATACAACCGTCTTGTGGTAACTGACCCTGAAATTCACATGAAGAAAAAATTATGTCTGTAAAATGAGAAACATACTACAAGATGGCCTTTAACCATCAAAATCTGCCCTCTATAGAAGGCAGAAAAACTTTCAAAGTCATAATTTCAGCTTGTTCATAAATTACAGACAGTGGGAGCCGGTTGCAAGGAAGAAAGAATAATCTCTTTAAATTAGAGGGGAAAAATAAGAACAGATTCCATATGGGAGCATGGAAATTATCTAGGTAGTTATAAAAAGGAAACCCCATTAACATCTATCGTGGCTGAATAACAGTACTTAGCCCTCCAGCTATGATCTATATTTTCATAAGAGAGGACAACATTCCCGCAGTCAGGCAAACAACAAGTGGCACAAATGTTTCAAAGGACACTGTCCTAAACTGGCACAATTTGACAAGTTGGCCAGTGCCACACAAAACTGAGTGTTGGGCTCTCTTCTGCACCATCCAGCAGTAAAGCAATCAAAATCAAAATGAAATTTCTTCTTCTTTTTTTCTCTCCACCTTGAAGTAGCAGGACTTAAAAGCCCAGCACGATGGTAGCTGCAACCAATTTGCAATCTGATGCAATTCAAGATTCTTGTTTTCCTGCTGTTGCTAATTTTGGCACCACATCCTCCAATCAGTATTTCCTATGTTAATTCGATTCAGGTCTAAAATTGTGCTGGGCCAAATTAGGATGAGGAGAAGAAAAGGAAAAAAGCTGTGACTAGCTAAGATGTTATAATGGAGCATGGCATATAGTCCATGGCATACAGTCCATGGCATATAGTGATAACTGGTCATAATGAAACCTGCCCTCCCAGGAATCTGTGCCTTCCCACTGACTGGAAACTCTGAAAGAAGTCAGTTCTGTGGCTGGGACATGTTTAAAAATCTCACCCCCAGAAATCTATGAGTTAGGGCAGTCAAGTCTTTCCTTCTGTCTTTACAGGGTAATTCTTTTATGATCCGGTCAATTTTATGTCATAAACTATGTAGAAATGCAACTCTCCTTGAGCCCTTACCTCTTTGTCAGACCTGCTTGGGAAGCACACAGACATGCAGATAAGTGTGAAAGTGTAGGCTGGCATTCTGCAAAAACCAAACCAAACCACTGCCTTACCTGAGAAATGTCCATAACAGAGTCACAGCTGAGAGGCCGAGCAGATGTCAAGTCATTAGAACCCAACACAGTGGAGATAATCCCATTCTGATCAATCCGCCTGATCATGGTGCCATCCACAAAGTAAATCAGCCCAAACTTGTCCACGGTGATGCCTGGAAAGGAACAAAGAAGGACAGTCAGAAAGTGATGGCAGCCTGACACGATGAGCAATATCTTTTATGGCGTTCCAAAAGGATGAGAGGAGAGTTGGGCATGTGAGAATCCTGGTTATCAAGAGCTTTGAACTGGCACCATTCCATGGAAGACACTTTTCAATGCAATTCAGAAATCCCTGCTTGCTCCTGGAAAAGGGCATGGCATTCAGTTAACTGCTGAAATGAAAAGGTTTTCTAATAACTGCGTGTCTTGCATGCTCAGAAACCTGGTTTTATTGCTCATGGTATGAATGGTAAGCCATGCAGGTAAAAATGTTACGCTGACGAATCTTTCAAAAATGGTGATAAAAAAAGGCTGTGAAAGGTCCATCAGGGCAATCAAATTCCAGAGGGATAAATGAGAAAGGGGTTTCCCTAGGATAATCCTACTAATATACAGTGTTTCACCCAATTCTGAACTCTGCTAGTGATTAATTTCATTGCTCAAACCTCCTTTGTAGACATACTCCTGTCAGTGGATTTGAGGTCTGCTGACAGCAGTTACAGGCTGCTGAACTCATTTCTTGCCCTGCAGATAGTTCTCTACACTTTCTAATTAGACCTCATAACAGTCTATGAGTATGGTCATTCTAATTTTACATATCAGAAAATTAACAGATAATGCAATTCTCACAAGGGCACAGAGAAAGGTCATGACTGAGGTAGGAATAAGAAGTTAGGGGCTCTACTCACCTCCTCTTTGTGCAAGTATGAATTAAAATAACTCCACAGTCATTCACCTCATCTACCCTATAGAGGCAGAATGTCACTCATTATAATATCTGAGTAGATTAAAGACACTAAAAGCTTGTAAAGAAACAGAAAAAGAATGTAGAGGCCTGTAACATCTTTTTCTATGCAAGTGAAAATTCTGCTTGAAATAGATGAATATTAGGATCTTCCTGTTTGGTTTCTTTTGCTTTCAGTGTTAACAATCACTTGGCAAAAAACAGACATGTGCACTGTGCATCTAAACAAGTATCTGAAGCTATTCCAATCACTGGAGAGAGAAATCTACTTTGAGAGTGCAATTTGTATCACCCTAAAGCCCATATCCCCAAGAGATTATACAAATACTGCTAGAAATACCTTTTCCTCCCATTTGACTATAAAAGGAGACTACAGCAAATATCTCTAAAGAAAACATTTATTTTGTAGGCAGATTAAACTAGTGAGCTGAATCCTCACTGCACTGTCTCTATGGCTATCATCTTGGTGACAGAAATGATGGAAATTCTGTTTCAGATAGAAAGCTTTGAGAATGTTTGAGGAGCGATCAGACCTTGTGTTCCTCCAAAATGCTGTTTTGCAGCCAGATCCCCTTATTTGAAACATCTACACCCTCAGTCTCCATCCACTGTGAGCTCTGCTGTGAAGTGCAGATGCAGCAGTTCACAGATCAAAAATTCTAGATTTTCATACAGTAGGGACTAATCCTCTGATTGCTTTGGCAACTAAAATCATGGCCTTCAGCCAGCACTGTAAGTATTGCATGGGCTGGAAGCCACGGGGGTAGGTGATATGTGGAAAAACATAGCAGATTTGATTATAAGGAAATCCACAGAAGATATTCTGGCCTGGCAGAAAAACATCAGTACTAAGGCATTGTTTGAGAGAAAGAACAAACTTCTGCATTGAGCTGAGATAAAGGAAGGGATTCAGACATGGTTGCAACCTGTTGATTCCAAGTCAATTAGGAGTCAGAAAACTGATGTTTCAGATCACTGAGCTGAATGGGAGCTGTGTATTATTGCCAGGAGGAAAAACCAGCATTTTTGATACTTCTTCACAGCATCACCCTGTTTGAAGGGCATCACTTTGACCTGGGTCGGATATTTGATCGTCAGAGCTGTGTGGTTTCAGAATAGCCTCTACAGCAGTGAGGAAAAAAATTACTTGCTGCTTTCAAGATGAAGTTAATTAATTTTGGAGGGGATTATATAACAGGATTGCTGAGATAATGGATGACAGGACTGAATGACCTAAAAGATTGCTTCAAGTCCTACACTAACACCTGTTTTGAATTCATGCCAAGGACTCATCTTTGCAGGGCCATGAAACAAGAGTCTCGAAGAGGAGCACAAGGTAACTGTTGAACATCTGAATTTACTGAGGATAGTGAGGCACTGGCAAAAGTTTCCGGAAGAAATTGTGCCTGCCCCATCCCTGGAAATGTTCAAGCTCAGGTTGGATGAGCTTTGAATAACCTGGTCTGGTGGAAGGTGTCTCCCCTCAGGGGGGGTAGGAACTAGATGGTCTTTATGGTCCTTGCCAATCCAAACCATTCTATGATCTGATGAATGCTATGGGAGAAGCCACAGCAGTGGTGACCATTTATTATCACTGTAAATACAAACACATCTCTTGTATTTTAGCACTTCGTTAAAATGCTTGCAGAAGGATCTGATGGGATAAGCATCAATATCTCAGTGACATCCATGGCTTTCAGGAAGCTATCTTCACCTGCCATGAGACTTGTCAGCACTATGCCCTCTTCAATGGATCCTTCCAGGACACTGGCACATATCACCTGTCACTGGCATCTGCTGTTGAAGGTCTCTGATCCTCTTAATTATTTTGCCTACTGAGTGTCAAGTTCTTTCATGCTTTCTGGCATTTGCTTAAAAACCAGGAACACAACTGCGGTCTTTAAGCAATACGGCAGATGTGCTTTTTTTTTGGAAGAGGCACAATAGAAGGTTTAGTTGATCTTAATTGTCTTTTGTCAAACACAAGAGTCTCTTACCCATTCCATGGTTCACAACAAGTATTTTTCCGGGTGCCTGTCCATTATTCTGTGTGACAAGCCAAAAGCCAGTGAAGGGTGGCAGGCTGGATAATGCGATTTTCAATGAGGCAGAATTTTCTCCCTTAGCTAGTTCCATATGTATTGGACTGGACTTATCAGCAGCATCTGCTGGCAGTGGCCCACTGTGTGCAGTGCTGGGGTTTGGTGTCTGGTCTGATTACCCAGTTACAGTAATAATAACCTGGATGCACTTTGGCCCTCGAGCCTGCTCTGATCAGCTGACAGGGCACAACTTTATTTTGCATTCCAGCTTAGACAAAAAGCTGGCACACTCGAGTAAGTGGAAGTGGGATAGCAAAGTTACCACTTATCACCCTGCTCCAGGGCAATGGTATGTGTATGTGTTCTTATCACTGAGCACTTCTCTGCTTATCCCCCTTTCATAGAGGCTAAGCAATCTCAATTGCCTCACATTTCCTGAGATGCATTGTAGGGCAGCAGAGTTTGCAGTCTGTCAAAGCCCCAAATTCCCACTCACACACATTCCTGCTCCAATCCCTTCCTGATTTTGCTGATTGTCTTGGAATCAAAACTAATTAAGGAGAAGAGCCCTGCTATCCCACAGACAAGTGTCTTTGGATGGATGACTTCTGTGAAAAGGGAAAGAAGGATCTCAATTGCAGCAGATTGTAGAGGTTAGGTTGGACCTTTCTGTTTCCCTTCTGATATAGGCACAGTTCCAGCGCTGGGAGCTGGCTCCTGCAAACAGGCGCAGAAATGGGTAATTCACATGTTATGCGTGTTAAGCCCAAGGCCTTGGCTTGCTTTGGCAGAAGGCTCCTCTCATGTTTCCATAGGAACATAAGGGAATTACAGCATATAGCTTGAAGTTCAGCCTCACAGTTACTGAGAGGAAACAGCTGCTGCCACTACCCAGGTAGCATTGCAGATCCAAACCTTAAGTTCTGAGATATGAAATACATACGCTATGAAATCATGCTGGCTCCCCTTGCATAAGCTGAGACCTCTCACAAAACAAGGGCTTGTAGCACCATGTGCATCTCACCAGTGAGCTGTGCTGATAGAAAGTTGACGTGATGACATTTGCTTGAAATGTCAGGACCCTGTGGCATGAAGAGGTGACAGCACAATGTTGTGCTGCAAATAGCTACCAGGACATGGTGAGTTTATTGTACAACACAAACCACTAAAAGTGATTGCATGGTGCATATAGCTCTAGTTAGGAAAAGAAAAAGGGGAAAACCCCTTTTAACTGAAAAACAAGGTGCTTAAAAGAAATCCAAATTTGGACCTTTCTTGTCCGACTGGATGCTGAATGACTAAGTAATAAAATGGCAGATCAAAATCAATGTCAGTAAGTACAGAAGAATTCACAGGGGAAGGAGAAAGCCTAACTACCCATATACATTGACAATCTGAAAAAGAGCACACAGGAAAAAGGTTCTGGAATTCCTGTGAAAAGTTTTCTGCTAAGATCAGTTTTGTGCTATGCAGTGGTCAAGAAGGGAACTACAAGACAGCAAAGAATTAGCAAAGACACAGAAAAAGCCCAACAAAGCAGTGGCTTGGCCTCAAAAGGACCATTCTTTTTCATGACCTAGCTACAGAAATTGTGAAAATTATTAGCACAGGGTACCTGGAAGAACAAAACTAGGTGTTCAGAAAGGTTTCTAAGCCAATTGATGCTGATATATAAGCACAGGTCTGGTGCACCTCGTTAAGAAATTCCTCTAAATGCTGATGATTAGCATCTGGAGTGTTAGCACAGAAAGACCACATTGCCCCTGTCCCTAAGTGTTTCTTCTGGCCACAGTAAGGGACAACAAGTTTTGTTCAGTCAGCCTCTGGTCTTCCTTGAAATGGTCCTATTATTATCTGACCATAAAAATGTTAACAGATTGTGGAGAGTTGGTTTCCTCAATTAATTCTGTTGAACTCTTCAACACTTAGAGAACAACTGAGATTTTGTTTACACATTCAGCAGGGCAGAGTGAAAGAACCAATCTGTCCCCAAATTAATTACTTCATTTCACACTGGTGTTATGGTGCTAAACGAATGAGATGCCCCCTCTCTCCCCACGTGCCTTCTGAAACATTCCTATTGTGTCAGACTTGTCACTGCAATCTCTCTTAATTGCAAGCTCCTTGGTAATTTCTCTGCCACAACATTTTCCCGAGAAGAACCAGTGGTGAGTACTCAGATGAAAAGAAATGCTCTGACAAGCTGGAGTTTTAATTTTTTTTTAGATTGCTTGTAGAAGAGGATCATTATTAGCAGATGATAATTAGGAAGTAGTAACACTTTAATTTGCAAGGATATATTGAAATTCATTAGCATCTGAAAGCTTTGCTGTGCTCTGTGGCAAATGAATTGGACAGATTAGACTGATTCCTAATAGCTATGATAAATACCCTGACCAAACCACTACCATCCCTATTTCATCTGTGGATCTATCTATCCTGTGTTTCTGTAGCCTACCTTTATTAAACAAGCCAAAGATGGGCAAAGTGTGAAACTCCTGGAGGGTTTTACCCCTCCTAATATCTTTTTTAAGCTGATGGTCTAAAAGGAGCTCTTCCTTCACTGGAGTGAGACAAGAACCTCTGTCCAGAGGGTACTTCAGAGAATGTATTGACCTGTCAGTACAAGGGATAATGGCTCTGAACTAAACCAGGGTGGATTTAGATTATATATTAGAAGGAAATACTTCCCTGTGAGGGTGGTGAGCCACTGGCACAGGTTGCACAGAGAGGCTCTGGATGCTCCATCCCTGAAAGTGTTCAAGGCCAAGCTGGATGGGGCTCTGAGCAACCTGGTCTAGTGAAAGGTGTGGGGCTGGATAGTCTTTGAAGGTCACTTCCAACCCAAAGCATTCTACTCAAAGCATTCCCTCTGAACTCAAGGGAGCTGAGGTGAGAACTGGAAGAAGTGATCAAAACAATGGGGAAAAGTCTGCTGCTCAGAATGTGCAGAATCATTCTGAACAGTGTTTGCTGTGGTGGGGACCTCATCCTTCAGGCTATCAGATTCAGGAGAAGACCAGAACCCCCAGAATGTGGTTCATCCCACCTTGAACATGTGCACTGTCCCAGAATGAACCATCTTCAGGGTGGTTCTAGTACTAGTTTCTTTCCACTGAGAAGAGATCCAAAAAAACTTACCTAGACCAGATGCTTGACTGGTCCAAGGGACTAAAGGTATATGCAAAGGCATATGATGACAACTCATGACTATTTCTCCAGTCTTAATGAACTGCTGGTTTTCATCTGGCAGGAAGGTATCCCTCAGTATTTTCCAGCAAGCTGCAAATACCAGCTAATTAAAACATCATGAAAGGCAAGGCTTTTATTCTTTATGATTTTTGAAAAAGTGCAAAGATGTCCTTAAAATACAGAAATCCTACTTGGCATGAAGCAATTATGTTCAGAGAAAAAAAAAAAAAAAAAAAAAAAAAAACAAAAAAACATATGTTCAGAAAAAAAAAAAAAAAAAAAAAAACAAAAAAACAAAAAAACAAACCAAAACAAAAAACCCCAAAAACTTTAGGCTTAAAAAGTAGAGTCCTGTGAAGAGCAATGATTCTTGAAAAACTGACTTTCCAAGTCCTTCCCTGGCCAGCTGATATCTCTATAGCTACAGAATAGTCTTCTAATTTCCTTTGACCATTCACTTACGAGTGTTTATTTCCCTGCCAAGACACAGAAGCAGAGGGTCACTTGAGATCTACCGGTTACTTACACAATAAATCATTTTTATTTTGAACTATTATGAAATACATGAGGGAAGAGCATTTGCTGGATTTTTCTGCTAGGATGAACCACTGTGGAAGCATAAACAATGGTGACATTACATTGTCAGCATGAGTTTTCACTGTTCATCATTTATTGAGGGGACTGGGGAGTGAGTCACACCTGCCACAGCCATTGCCTCAGCAAAATTTGCAAAGTCAAGTTAGAATCAGATCAGGGAACACTGTTTAGGAACTTTCTATTGGCAGTGCAGGCTTTCTGCATTATTATTTTCTTCTTGTAATTTTGCTTCATGTAATTTCCTCTTTCACCCTCAATTTACTTCTGTTTTGCGAAATTTTGGAGCTATGAGGAATGAATGCATGAATTTTGCCGTTATGTGACTGAGGTGGAAGAATGGTCTCCTGAGAGCTTCAGTTGCCAACAAGATGGATTTCAGTGCTGAAAACTTTGAACTCCAGAGCTGTTTGCTATAGCAAAGCAGAAACATAAGTCATCTAAAACTTGTAACATTCACCCATGGATGGAAATGAATAATACTCCTCTTATCTTGTACAAGGGAGAACAGAGGACCAACAAAAGTGGAGGGGTATTTTTTTTTTGCACTGATTGAACTTCAAAGAGGTGCAGAAAATTGGATTACAGATTTCTGGATTCCCTGATCTCATGATTCATCTGCTGGACTGCTTGAATCTCTCTGCCCAAGTCACTTAATTTTCCTTTCAGTTGGCCTTCTCATTTCAGTGAGACAAATTCTACACTACAAACTGACCACCAGTAGCTGTTCCTGTACTTTATCTGTGCTTCTGGCAATACTTTAGCCCAAAATAATGGTTAACTCATGGGATTCTTGAGTGCTTGGAAACCATGCTGGACTCTTTGAATACTACAGGGGTAGAAGTGTCAGGTTTTGATGCTTTTGGCAAAAAAATAGGTCCCCCAAAGTACATTTTTCTGTATCCTTGCCAGGAAACAACTACCTGACATAACAAAAAAACCAACCAAACAAAAAACTAACCAAAGAAACAAGACCCAAACCCAAACAAAAACAAAACCCCCAAACAAACAAAAAACCAAACCAAACCAAACCAAAACAAAAAAAAAAAAAATCACAGCCAGACCTGACACAAACACTCATTAAATCAGTTGGGGTTTCCTGGATTCAGTAACAACAATGTCATCTCTATGTCATGAAAAATAACTTCCTGAGAATCAAAGAATCATTGAAGGGTTTGAATTGGAGGGGATGTTTAAATCATTCAGTTCCAAAACCTTGCCATGGGCTGGGACTCCTTCCACTATACCAGGTAGATCAAAGCCCTATCCAACTTGTCTTTGAACACTTCCAGGGATGGGACAGCCACAACTTCTTTGGGAATCTCATCTGTTTTTAGTGAAATAACTTTCCATAACATCACAGAATGGTTTGGGTTGGAAGAGGCCTTTGAAAGTCATCTAGTCATCTAGTGCTGCTGCCATGGGCAGGAGCACTTGTTAAAGGATCCCTGAGTTTTGCTGAGGGGTTGCTTTACAAAGAGGTTGGGATAGGCTTGGCCATTGCTGTGGTGAGGAAGGAGGGAGCTATCCTGCAGCACAGTGATGTCAAAGCTAAGAACCTATAAATAACTCCTTGCACTCTGAACAGCTGCACAGAAGACAAGACATACAAGGCAAAAATGCCCCATCTCAAAAAACATTCCTGCATGGCTGTCTTTCCCAGCCCTCTTCACAAACACGGTCGAAAGTCTGTGCACAAACAGTGCCTTCCACCTCATCTCCATCCCCCCCACCTCCTCTCTGTCCCCCTGTGTATTTTTTTTTTTTTTTTCCTGAGCTGCTGTGGACAGCTGGGAGGAGCGATATCCTCCCTCTGCAGAGCTTGTTACCTTGAGATTGCTAGACTGAAGTCTCGGCTGCACACAGGACTGCATATGTTTGGCTAAACCTGTTTTGAACAATTTAGTTCACAGCCATGAAGGCTGTATGATACTTTTATTCTGATTCGACTGTGCTTTTGTCACATTTCAGGATGTTGGAACCAGGTAAAATTAAGCTGAATTGGACCACTCCCATATCAAAGTTAGTATCCGCCCCCTCCAGGATTTAAGCTAGATGCTGTGATACATAATGTCAATGTCTAAACTACTGTTTGCGTCTCTCTGAGCTGTATGATAGTTTCGCTGCCCTTTTCTATCTATCTATCTATCTATCTATCTATCTATCTATCTATCTATCTATCTATCCACAGCAATGCTCATAGGGTTGTTTTTTTTAATGCCAAGAAAGCCTCAGTGATTTGAATATTAGTGATTCTTGCGCAGGCTGGGAGGGACCAAGCACTGCTGGTAAGGAGGAATAGTGGGAGGGACCAAGCACTGCTGGTAAGGAGGAGTAGTGGCTCCACAGGTATAAAAATGATGGGTGGATTTATTCCATTGCCTTCTGGACATGTGCCCATCACTGAACCCCTCTGGCTTGGCATTCCTCCCAGCCACATGAATTTGAAGAGACACGGCATGACTAGCTGAGGGTGAGACATACTCACTTATTTCCAGGAGCAAGCCCTTAGGATGTGTTTCAGAATTGGAGAGGAAAGCAATCTCCAGTGTGACTAAACAAGCTGCTTTCAAAAAGCCCCCTTTAAAATAGCCAGTGGAGAAGAAGCAGTCTCACCCCTGGGATTTGTCAGGGTGGCATCGGTGCCTTTGCCTCCATCTCCACAGCGGGTATCATCGAATGGGAGGCACTGATCCCCAGTTCCAGCCAAGACCTCTGAGTTCTTCACAATGTCTTTCACTGATGTGGTTGACTTGATTTTATAGATACGTCGGCTGTTGGTGTCCGAGAGGTAGATGGAGCCGGTGATTGGATCTGTGGTCAAGTAATACTTATGAGCTGGGCTGTGGCTGAAAAACAAGGGTATGACATTATTAATTTTTTGGATGATGTGTTTCCTTAAGTCAACAGGCAATGCAACACTTTAGAGAATAAAAACGCTCAGGGCAGAACGACTGGGAAAGTGAAGGAGTGCTGTTTTGGACAAGGTTAGTACACAGTGTGTTACAGCACAGGATCCCAAGCTGTATCCACTAGCAATTGCTGTGCCAGGGTGCTCTCTGGCATGGAGGGAAGCAACCGAAGGAAAGGATTCTCTGATCTGAGTCTGAGCCAAAAACATGCCAGGAACTACTACAGGTTGAGTTCCAGTGTCTGTGTTTGCTTAATTTACTTGTTATAGACATAGTCCTGAAACTGGTGTTTGTGCAGTGCCAGGAAGTGAAGGGAAAACAGAGGACAGTAGGGAAATAAAACAAATAATAATGAAAACAAATCTGCCCTCCCAACAAAAACTAATACAAACTCCAAAAGGAGACTCCCTGTATAAAGCACTTGAAGATACAGCCTTCAAGATCACTGCATCAAGGTTCATCTGGTGATCTTGCTGACTCCAGCAAAGACTCTAAAGTTCTGTTCTGCCCTCAGGGAGATTAAGGGAATCCTGCCACTGAATTCAGCTGGTCCTCAGTGTTGAGAGAAACAAAATAATTCCCAGAGTGGCACATTTTGCCCCAAGTAAAGCATGAACTGGTATTAGGCTGAGGAACCTGAACAACAGTCCCCTATTAAACACCCTGTGCTCACTGTTTCCTTGGACACAAGAAAGGGTGGCTGAGAAAACAGGATGAGCAGACAGAATGATAATATTTTTAGCTCCATGACTGTAACACTAAATGAGCCCAAGAGTGAAGAAATTAATAAACTAGAATCCACTTTATGGAAAGCATCCAATAGGACTGGCCAGAAAAAAACAACCAAATGGGTTTAGACAAAATTTAAACAATTGTCTTGCAAGGACTTTACCTGTATTTAACATAGATACTTAAGATATTAATATCTTTTATTAAAATTGTTGACTATTGGTGTGTATCAACATGCATCTCTTCTAAGCCTGAAACCAATAGGTTAGACTTTTAACATCTGTCCTGAACAGATTTATTTTCCTTCTAAGAAAGCCTAAGTAGTAATTAGAACAAGTATGAAAAGTATCTACTTTTCTCCAGAACACCTTCAAGCTGTCTAAACTCATCAAGTCCAAAGAATTAATAATAAAAATCTAGGCCACAGTTCACATTTTTGCACTTAATGGAATCGTTCCAGGAGAAGTTGACTAGAAACTTGAGTGTCAATCACAGTTGACTCTATTCTGCATATAGAAAATTCCTCTCAACCTTCATGTTAGGAAAATTACCTACTCTTCAGACACGTAAAAATTACTGAGTTATTCTCACATTTAAAAAGCAGTAAATTGGTTCTTCATTCAAATTATTTAATACTGTGGGGGTGGGGGAAAAGCACCTTTCTGATTTATTCTGGAATATCCCTTGTGATTTATCCTATTAAAGTCTGAACAGATTTCATCTCCAAAAATGACACTGATTCTTGCTAAATAAAATGCTCTGACCTTCAAGACAGCTCCAGCCTGACAGTTCAGTCTCCATCTGTATTCCTTCCCAATGACAGCAGGCTGGGAGGGTATTATTTCATTTACCTGCATGTCACTCACACTAAGCAAGTGGCTTCAACCCTGGTGGAAGAAGTTCCCTGTGGGAATCCATCATCCATTTTGATCAGGGCCTTGCATTTTCTGCTGACTGTCCTAACAAAGCCCTGCTGAATGTCAGTAAGCTCTTGAGCTGTTCATAATCTCTATTTTGCATGGGAAGTGGACAAGAGGAGGACAGTTTTAATGGCACTTTGCAATCCTTTACCATCTTTGACTGGCAAGCAAAGATAACTTTCCCTGAGTTTTAGAGCAGGCTATGTGCAGATGGGCAAAGGCAAATGACTTACCCAGAGATGGAGAAAAATGGGGACAGAGAGAAATTCCTGCTCCCCGCTCCCAGCAATATTGTTGTGATTTATTTTTGGATTGCACAGCCTCACTCTGGTGGATTTTATTATTGGTTACAATATTTTATTATTGACTACAATCTTCTGTAAAAAAGAGAGCTCTTAAAACAATTTTCTATCCCTGGCTCTTGCATAAAATAGATGCTGAAACCACCTGTTAAAATGGTCAAGCTAGAATTTACCCCCCTGGCCTCTGCCAACTGTTTTCAGCACTGCAGAGAGTTAGTATTGTACTCTGCCCTGGCATGAACTGCACAGTGTTATACACTAGAAGGGGTTTTTTTTTGTCACTTTAAGATCCTTCAGGGTGAAAGATGCTTAAATAAACATACACTGGTCATGTAAAATCTCCCAAACTGCTTCCCTTTATCTGTGATAGTGCATGAGCACTGGAGCCAGGAACATTGGGGATTCACTTTTTATTTAAAGCCACAATCAATAGGCAAATCCAAGTGGTAAACTGGAGTGGACTGAACAGCAACTGAAATAAATATGCCTGGAGTGAAACAGAGAGGATTTTTTTCCCCCTTTCATCCTCTCTTATTTCTCAGCTAGGTAACAGTCCCAAACAAAAGACAAGACTTTTTACTATTCAAAAGACTTGATCAGCTATACTATTTGTAGTCTTAGAATATTTATCCCCGATATTGGCACTGCCTCTAGAAAATGAGTGTGAAGGAAGAGCTGATTTCCCATTCAGAGTGTTCCTTGAGCTATTAGAGTTTTTAGAAGAAAACCTAACAATGCATTAATATGTTAAACCCCCTGAAGCAATAACATTGAAATTGCAGTGATGGGATGGGCTGGTCCCTAGCCAAGAACAGACACTTTGATGGGTATTAGTGGGCATGATGGTGTAGTCACTGGGAATGAGAACAGTTTCATGGTTCTGCAAGCCCAAGTGAGATGGAGGCGATACTGCTTCCTTGTATACTTGTGACAGTGATGTGCTGGGAAAGCAGAGGGAAATCTTTCAAGTCCACAGTGATTACACTTCTCTGAGGTTTTGTATAGTCTCTTCTATACATCTGTCTTCTGCACTTTATCATTCTCATTGTTTCGACAGGATAGTGCCAGTGCATTTAGGGAGCTCTGCAGGTATGTTAAGAGATTCAGACTCTATTTTAAAGTGTTTGTGCTTTATGTGATTCCTTACACACATGCACAGGGAAGAAATGGGATACAAAGTTGGGTGAGCTGGCAGAGGCATGAAGTTTGAATTACGAATTGTGAATCATAGTTGTACTATGATATGTGCACAGGCTTTGAATAAAGGCCTCTCCCTTTGGGCCCAGAACCCATGTTTTGGAGGAGTCCTAGGAAGGAAACTTCTGCTCCAGAGAGGGAAGCCAATCTCTAAGGAAAAGAGATGAGAAAAGGGAGATGGTCCCTTTTTTCAGCAGGATCTCTACAAAACATCAGCACAGCAGACTACACCTTTTTATTGGTTCCTGTAAAATGCCAAGGGATTCATTTCACCGTGCTTTAGATGGTTACAAAGTGGATGCTTACATCAGAGCTGGTTGTCTTAATTCCCTTTAGAAGCAGTGGAGAGAAATATCACCTTTTGGGGTAGGACTTGTCTGACTATTTTCAACATTTGTCTGACAAGATTAACTGTATCTTAGTTTCTCAAATGCAAGGGCATCTACTACCTCCTCAAAGGACAACTTCTGTGACTGGTAATTGTACAGCTCTGGCACCCACTGTGGTCAACAGACAGGAGGAGTCACACCACTAAAATTAGTTACCCACAATCACTGACCTGGATAAACCCCTGGGGCTTCTTTGGATCTGATGTCTCTGTTTAAGGACTCAAAACCACTTCTTTTTCTGTGCCAGCTACCCACTTCCCCTCTGAGCTTTTCTGGCCAAGTACATTTGCTGGTGACTACAGAACCACCAAATTTCTGCAGTCAGGAGGTTTTTGTTCAGTGGGGCTGTGTTTCCATGGCTCCATGATAAGCACCCTGCAGCTCAGAACCAGAGGATTTAATTATTGTAGCTTGTGTGCAGTACTGATCTTTTTTCCTTGGGTGACACTCAATAGACTAATACCTAAGGAGGCCACACAATGCAGTGAGCTGGATTTGCACTTGGTCTTTTAGTGTTTGCAGTTTGTGTGTAATGTCCAAAGCTCTTCTAGTGTGACATGCTGGACAATAAAATTTTATAACAATGCCATAAGCCAAGCCAGAGATGGCAAGGGACTTTTTATCTGATCCCAGAGCTGTTTGCTAAGATATCTCTCTGTTACTTCTCTCTACAGTATGAATGGAAACAAGAAAGGAAGAATAAATTTAAGTGGCAACTTTTTGTATATTTGCAAGACAGAAATGCCTCACTGCCCTCCACGTTCATGCAGAGAAGGCATCATGATTTGGTGATGCTTTTTGGCTTAGCTAATGTCCCTCATTTAGGCTGTTGCAGAGTTAGACCTTGGCTGTGCACACAGAGCTGTAAAGCCAAGCCTCTACACCTCTGGGTAGCTCCAGAACCTTTGGAGATCAAACTCACCACACCCTACGTACTGGGGAGGAATTCCTTTCCCCTGAACTGAGGCAGCTTTAGCATATGGATTTCAGCTTTTCCAAAACACTATGATTCATCCCTGTGGATCTCCCCCTTTGCACCGTTGCTGGTGTCAAGCTTAGGACATTCTGGAGTTTAAAGCACTAGAGCTTTAGCTGAGACTACACACACTCATTTCCTTGAGGTTCAGAAGCAAAGAGACTTCCTAGCAAGAAGACTAAAGCAAGTGCCACAGAACAGGCACTAAGAGATGGGTGACTCCTTCAACACAGTCACAGATAGGAGGATTTGATCTGGAGCGCCTCACCTGCTTCCTCCTTCCCTCATCCCCTTTGGGCTACACTGAAGCAGGCATGTCTTGGATTTCTTTCACTTAATTTCTTAGTTTTTAGAAACTGCCTAAAGGCTGAAGCCCTGCCAACTCTGCTTGCCAATCTGCAGTGTTTGTGGCCAGTCCATCGATCCTCCTTCAGTTACTGCTTTCATACACAAAACCTCTTCTCATAACAGGTACCCAGCTGCTGCCCTTCACTGTCAAAGCAGATGCACTTTAGTGGCTGTGTATTTCTTGGGCATTAGGGATACAACCTGGCTGTTCCAAAGAGAAATAAAATTTTCTATAGTCTTCAAATGATGTGAAAGAGTACCTGGGGGGGGCTGGAACTCAGCCTGATGAGGACAGTCAGTGAAAAGGTCTTGGGTAACAACCTCCCAGCCCTGCTAATAGATGCTTTGGGCCAGTCCATTACACTGTGAAGCTCAGCCCTTCATTATTGCTCTGGCAATAGGATAAAAAATCAGTTTCTACTCCATTTCCAGGCATGCAGATGAAAGAACATTTTTAGTTTAGCACAGCCTCTATGAAGTCAAAGAAATAGTAAATGAAAAGCATGTAGCAAGAAAAATCCCCAATTCCAAATGCAAAAGAAAACTAAACACATACACACACACACACACAAATCCCAGCTCCACACAGTCTAAGCTTCTGATTTAGAAAAGCAACCAGGGAGAAGGATGGGAAACTTGTCAGAGTCAGAGAAGTCCTTGCAAACACAGTCAGTGACAGGAAGTTGACATCTTCTGGAATGCAACTGATTGGATCAAACCCACTGAAACTCCAGTGAACCCAAGTGACAAATACTCCTACTGACAAAGCTCCAATTTAGGAGTCTCTCTTTTATCTTGTTTTCTTGTCATTACTCTTTTATTGCATTTCCTGGCTACGGTTCTGAGTTGTGGTACCTCCATTTGAGTCTGACAGACTTTCACGTGTCAAAGCTCTCTATGAAAGCTCAGGCTGAAAAATGTTACAAAAACTAACTTCCCTGGGTGGGTAATGCTGGGGCACATAGGATCTTTATTATGCCTGTTAAACATCTCCCAAACCCAAATGAAGGCTTTTCATTGTATGAGAATTATTTTTCCATCCTACTTGTTCCAGTAATCTGTTTCCTGATGCTGTTCCCATTCTACTTTCTTGATTAATTCCCATCCATTTTTCTTCCCCTCTCCTCCTCCTGTTACCCTGCTTCTCCTGCCTGCATTTCCCCTGTCTCCAGCTATAACAGCTCATGCAGAAGCTTGCATGGCTCACATTGTGATTAATGACTCCCAGTTCTGATGACTGATTGCCTACGCCAGTTTTAATCACGCCAGCTTCATTTGCTATTGAATCATCTGGAAATGGCACTTGTGGCTCACTGTGTAACAACATGCAACAAGACAGGGAGCAGCATAAGAATTCTCCACTGGTTGGCTTACCTATGTCTGAAATCTTTATTTCTGACAGAAGACAGGAAAGCAGGGAATAGAAGAAAGAATGAGGTGTTAGCAGCTCAGTTCGATGCATTATTAGCAGATTGAAAACTTGACAGTAACTGTATCACACAATGCAATAATAAATAAAGACTTAGCTGGAATGACACTGATGTATTTTATATTGGATATTACTTGGCAGTGAGCTCACTTATGTACTGCTGCATATCACAAAAGAAGTGTGATCTCACCTGCTTAGAGTTATTCACTCACACAAGAGATAGGACCATCAAACTTTATCTATCATTCAGTGCAGCACTGATCTAAATAGATGTAGATGCAGATATCTTTACAGTTTTTTTCACTCTCAGTCAAAGCACCACCTTGTGATTTACAAAGGTAACTTAAGAGTTGAAGTTACGGGTGGCAGTTCATTGCTGTAACCTCATGAACTCCAGCCCAGAGGACTGAAATTATGCTGAGCTGGACATTTTTCATAGGTCTAAGTTACACACCCAGCTGCAGCTCTCTGTGACCCACAATGCATTTGCTTCCCAGAACACTACACTCCAAACCCACCCCTGCAAACAAATCTTGGAGCCAAACAGTGAGGGTGTTAATCTCAAAGGAGATGCTGATTTGAGAAGACACAAGCAAACTCCATTTAGTCCAAAAGCAATGGCTTTCCTTTTAGCCAGCCAACATCTGAACCCACTTACTTTATAGCACACCAGAGTGAAGAAATGTTTATTAGATCCAGTAACCTGAGTGTTTGCACAGATGAAACAGCAATCGTTGCAGCAGATTTAACTCTGGAGCAAATTTAACTCAGTGGCTCTACACAACAGCCAGCAAGGCTACTCTGTCAAGGCTTCCAATTTTCCCTTCCCCAATGAGGAAATACTTTGCAAAACCTGTGTTTGGTCTGGTATTTCCACTGACAATGAAACAGGGATTGGGTTTTCAAAATTGTACTTCTGGGAAAGAGATATTAATCCTACTCTGTTGCAATGAGATTTGAGCTCACCGGCTCTTCTGGAGATTTCACCTTTGGTCATTAAAATAACTTTCTGGCACTAGAAGGATAGACATTACATTCTAACGAGGACCAGGTCTGAAGGTTTATCCCAGTTTCCCACCTTACAAACATGAGAGGTATTATGTTCTCCTGTATCATGGAACAGAATAGCAAAATTGAGGTTCTTGCTTCCTTACGGGAAAGGTGCCCCCAGCACTCTGAGGTGCCCATACCAAGGCACTTTTATTCTGTAAGTGCCAGCCTTCTGGTGGTGGCTGGCTGGATTTTTTTTTTTCATACACTATGATCTACAAGGATGGTTCTGAATGCCAAATAAGACTTTTGGTGAGGTCTAATGACTATGGCATGTTTGTGCATGAGGGACAAAGAGGATCTTGCACAAATTTGGCTGCAATCCTTGCAGAAATGCAGTATTATGTTTGTCCTCAGCAGCAGGGAATATTAAATCTGAGGAGGGAGGGTCTTGCTTTTGGGAAGATTCTTGTTTTCAGGCCAGATTTTGAGAGATGAATGGGAATACTGAACCTTCCTACCAGGCTATATTTATAGTGACTTCTCAGGACCTGAGTTCAGGCCTGTCAAGCACAGAAGACTCATTCAGGAACACTCCCTTAACTCTATTTGATTTTCCTGGAGTGAGACTGGTCTGGCCACACAAAGCCCAGAACCAGGCCAGGCTGGTTTGAAGTGGATGCTTGTATTTGTTGTGGAAATTTTAGATAGGTAAAATATCCTCAGTGAGGTCAATTTGAAATTTGGTTCAGTCACAATTTATTTAATTTTCTCAGAACTTGTGACAAATCATACTTTTCCCTCTGCTTCATTGTTTTTAATGGATGTTCCTGCCCCTTCCCCGTTATTTCTCCTGGTGTATTTTTTCCTTTGCTTTCTGGCACTAAAAGGAAACTCTTCACTTATTTCCAGATGCTCCCCATCTGCATGTTCAGTCTGATGCTGCTGCTCAGCTGGGAACTAAAGGGGGCTGCTACAGCTGTCCCCTCAAAAAACCAACTAGAAAACCCCAGTCTGTGACTGCCTAGAGTGATCATCTTGTCTAAATTATGAGTGATTATCAGTCCTGATTCACCTCTACATATCATCATCAGCGCTGTGTCCTTCCAAGTTTAGGTTATCTCAGAGGCTGCTTGTTAATTTTCAGCATTCCTACTGGTTTCTGACTACAGGAAAAGGCAGACATCAGCACAGCCTGATTTAGCAGCACAGAAATGTGTCAATATTTTTGGCGTGTGATTCAGTTCTGGAAGAACTTGCTAGGCCTGTGTTTCTCTGGTGTAAATCAAAGTCAGCAGAGTTGCAGAAGAGGCAGATCCAGACAGCTTTTTCTCTGCTTTGCTGTGTTGTTTGCTTTTTTTTTTTTTTTTTTTTTTTTAAGAGTTCTGTTCATTTTTCTTTTGGGTACATAGGATTTTTGCAGAACTTAAGAGCATTACTCTAACAGCCATATTCAGCACAGAATACCTCAGCTCCAGTATGTTGGTGACATTGCCAGAGGGAAAGATCCTTCGGATGTAGTTGAAATCTCCAACATAAAGACTTCCATCAGACCCACATGTTAGGGCAACAGGAGCCAGGAGTTTGTTTCCATCTGCCAGACCATTGCAGCTTGGACAAGAAATGCTCCGTCTGCGGCCGTTGCCCATAATGCTTCCAATTACAGGTGGCTGCTGGGAAATGAACTGGTTTTCCCCATTTCCTTTATGCAAGATGCCTAGAGAGAGAAAAAACCCAGTATTATGGAAATTAAAGAAACAGGAAGGCTGAGGCCAAAGGGAGCACAAACTGGCAATGCTGCATGCCAGCTGGGGAATCTGTGAAGTAGCAAGAAGGTTGATCATCTTTCATAGTATTGTTTTGTGATAGTTTCAAATGAGGAGCCTCTTTTCTGAGTTAAGTATTTATTTTAGACTCATTACATTTCCTACGGAAGGAAAATATGTAGGGAGATCAAGACTGTCTTCACCTTTGAATGAAATGCACTTTTCAGCATCTTATGAATTTTTACCTGCCCTGTCTGTTCCTCCTTGCCCTGTAATTTGCAGTCTACCAAGTAAAAAAAAAAAAAAAAAAAAAGAAATTACATAGCTCATGGAAATGTAAGGGCCAGGAAGACCATGGGACATTCTCTAGAGAAATGTTTCATCTGCAAAGTTTTAGAGGAGCTCTGCCTATTTTCCCTCTAAGTGTAGCACTCTCAGCAGTGGGTTGAATTAGATGTTTGTTCCCATACCACTATTATCTAAAGGGACACAGTGCTTCCACCCTTGAACAGGCTGTGATGAGCTTTTAAGCTTCCCTTCTGCAGTCCTCAGCAGTCTTCAAGGAGTCTGGAACCTTCCATTCTCCTTTAGGACCCATGAAGCCTCTTGTTCCGCAAGTACACTTTGGAGGATGTCTCTGGCTGGATTTATGCTTACTGACAGCTCCAATCTGAATAGGCTCCCCTTTGTTATTTTAGGAATATTTTCCTTGTTAGTACCCTTCTTTTATGACACTACAAAGTTGGGTTGACATTCAACTACTTCATGATGGCCAGCTTCTTTTACATTTTGTAAAATAAATTACTTCTAAATGTAGGTTACTGGAAATAATTTGCTAGTAAAATACACGAGAGAGCACATGTGTTGGTCAGGTTTCTTTCCTATCTTTTTCTTGAATTCTTAGTGATAAGAAGCAACTGGGTCTTGCAATGCTGCATTACTCTTGTTACGAGTCACAGACAACCTACCACTTTGTATGTTGAGGGCATGGTGTTTGTCCAGGGACCATCCTCCAAGTTTGGAAGCATCAATTTCATAACCCTGAAGCACAGCTGTCCTCTTCTCCCACAGGATTAAGTCTGGACAGGATTCATACTCATAACCTACTGAAACTGTGAACAAGAGAGAAACAAAAGACTCCTTATATTAGTTAACCCAGAAATGCAGTGCCAGCACATGCAGAATAGCAATTGAGCAGGGGTATGAGAATTTCTACAGAAAATTGCTAATTAAATTGAAAATGTCATCATCATAATGCACAGTCCAAATATTTTTTCTCTTAAAAGTCTATTCTGCATCTAAAAAGGTCAATGCTGTTGTCAGTGTTGGGCAAATGCTCTCAAAATTCAAAAGACACTGTTTTAAGGACATATTTTAAAACAATGTATATTAGGATTGGGACTTGATCTCTGGGAGTCCTTTCCAATTCAGGATATTCTATGATTTGAGAGTGTACACCACTGCTGGACTCTCAAATGGGAGAATTTTACTCCTATCTAATTTCTCTGATAAAAGAGTGCATGCCAGGAACATAATCTTGATTATGATCTTTCGGGGAAGGTAAAGACTTGCGCAATTCATGCATGGGGCAGTGAGTCCCATGGAGGCAGTAGTCTCAGCCAGATTGACTTGTGGTCATTGTAATGTCAAAAGTTTGCTTGCCATGATGTCTAATCAGAGCCTTTCAGGAGTAACTCCACTGAACACACTGGAGTTGCTTAAAATTATGTCAGCAGAAAGAAAATAATGTTTTTGACAGAATAATGATTCCTTTATGATTTTCTCAGAAGAAGCAGGACCATTTTCATTGGTCTGCTTTTCTTCTTCTAATCTTTACAGCTGAAGCAGAGCAGAACTGCAAGTTCCACACAAATGAAAAGCAATTACATAATCTTTTTTTTTTACTAGATAGAAAAAAACCTTTCTGATCTTACAAGTTTACCAACCTCTTTGAAAAGTGCTGAGCACTGAGAGAACTCAGAATTTGCCATCAAACATAGCCTTTTGCAGATTTTATCAGGAAAATATGTAAGTTAGGATATGAAAGGTCAATATTTTCCACTGTTGTGGAGGTGGGAATCATTGAAAGTGCGAATTCTGATGTCCTCAGAACTGCTTGTGTACTCTGGAGCTGCAGAATGGCTCCACAGAGCACTCCAGGACCCACTGGTGATCTAGCATTTAAAGAGCATGCACACAGACTGCTTCAGGATATGCTACATTTCTCTGTGGACTCCCAGCTGGGTAAGGCTCAGCAGGGTGTATAATCCAGCCTGCTCAAGGCAGCTGAGCCTGAGTGAGAAGAGGAAGGCACCTATTCTTACTCCTGGAAAACCAGGCATCATGCAACTCCTCTAAAAAGACTTCTCTTCAGTTGAGCTATGAGGCATAATGAACCATCCTTCTGTCAACAGGAGCTGTATTTGCTAATTTGGGATCTCTCCCATTTTGCTGATACCATTTCCTGGCACCCTGAAGGGACTAGTCTAGACTCAGCTAACTGAATGTCCACTGGGTGTTGACAGATGGGAAGCAATCACTGCAGAACTGCATTACTTCTGCTCACTAAACACCCAGTATGGGATGGCATTCTTGAATGGGTAACAAAGAGGAGACTAAGATTAGACCAACCCTGAAGGTCAGGCACAAGGAGCAGTGGCAATCAGGGCTCTGTCCAAGTGATGCCTTTCAAAGCAGTGTTGACAGTTTTTGGCTATAGGTGAGAGGCTGCCAAACACTTCTAGCCCCAGTTAATTCCTTCTGTATGAATATGATGGGAGCAGCTTAGGATGTATGTGCTGGGCCATGATCCAGAGAACAGGTAAGTATTTGTACTCTGTCCTTCAAAGTATTCAAGGCCAGGCTGGATGGGGCTTTGGGCAACCTGATCTAATGGGTGTTATCCCTGCCCATCACTGGGGAAATGGAAATTACATGGTCTTTAAGATCCCTTTCAACCCAAACCATTCTGTGATTCATCTGCTGGGGAATGTGTGCTGCAGTGAATCTGCAGGGACCATTCATGTGTCTGCAGTCAGACCATAGTGATCTAGGACAAGATCTATCACTGCCACTTAGTTGCTTCTAAAAGGAGGCACAAACCCTGGGGTCACTTACCGAAGGCTTCTGAGAGCCCATACACCTTCTGGCTGTAGACATCTGTCTTGTCCCAGATGAAATAGTAGGACAGGTCTGGAGCTGCTGCAAACCACTTTCTGAAGAGGCGTCCCTCGACGGCGACCATGAGGTGGACTTTCATGAGGTTGAAGGGGATGGTGGGGTGGGTCATGCTGATCCGCAGCACTGATTTGTAGCCAGCTGTGCGACTGCTCAGGTAACTCACTTTTATTTTACTGCCGGAAACGTTAATCTCCTCTTGTAGAGCCTGTGGAAAAGCAATCCATGAGGTGTTAAATCAGCAGTGAGCAGACAGGAAAAGGCAGTGAAGCTGTAATTTATCAAACACACCTGTATAAAAGCTCTGGCAGGCATGTCTAAAAAGGTACCTAGTAGGCATCAAGTATGAAATCATATATGTAACTTATTTCTGGAAGCTAAGGAATGCCTCCCACCTTCTCCATCTCTGTTATATGGGAGAGCAGGAGAACAAAGTGTCACATTAAGTCAGTGTTTACAAAGAGACTCACTCTTAAAAGGAGTACCAGGATCCACAGAGAAAAGAGCTTGGGATCTCAGATAATTACAGCCCATCAGTTTAGCTTCCATTTTCTGTCTTTTATCATCATAGGTTTTAGAGGCCTCTAATTCTTGTCTCCTGGCTTCCTTTTCCCAGTAAAATATCATACCCTACTTGGCGTTAAGGATGTTTCCTGGTCCTGATCATAACATGCAATTCTCTCCAAGACATTAGTGAATCCTCATTCTGCCCTCCCTCCTCTGACTTACCCTTCTCTCCTACTTTGAAACCGCTCCTCTCCTACCTCCTCTCTGACCCTCTCTACCTGATCTACCATCTACCTCTAGCTTTTTTTAAATCTGTGTTCTCGCCCTTATTTTCTGACCTCATATTTGTTCCTACTTATTCTGGTACTTGCTTAAAATTCCTTGGCTTCTTACTTAAGTGATTAAACTGTTGGCGTGATCTACCACCTACAACTCCTTTCCATTCCCTTGCATTCTTCTTTCTCTTTCTTTTCCAAACTCCTCTGTATTCCAAGTGAGTTGCTTTACTTCCTCCCCCTGACGTAAGTGAGGGTATTTCTGACTGACTGGGACAGTTATCTAACAGGTGCCCATTACAGTACAAAACTTCAGAAAAGACTGAAGAAACATCAGGAAAAGCATTTTCTGCTTTGAGAACAGAGAAGTCTCAATAAAGAGGAGATTTTCAGCTAATTCACCTGCTAAAGTATCAACAGAACTTAAAATTTTGTTTTTCTTCTTTTTTTTTTTTAATGGAGGAATGCTTGGAAAGTTTATGGGAAGTGATACAAGTATATCCCTGACATTGAGTTTTTCAATGCAAAATGCTGATAAAAAATCTTAGGAGAAAAACATTGTCACTTTCAAGAAAATTTCACTCTTGGGTAAGCACCCAACTTGGATATTTTTGGCACAAGTCAGCAATCTCTGGCAAATATTGAAAAATGAAGGTAGAAGCTTATCAGTGAGCAGGAAAGCCTGGTGGCTTTTTGGGATGTGTTAAAAGGTCACAGCTGGCACAGTCCTCTCCTGTGCCACTTCTGAAGTTCTTCAGTGTGCTGGACCCTAAATGAGCTTGGAAAATATATCCCGAGCAATAATCATCTTTCTGAATATTAAGGGTGGAGAAGCTTGAAGGCAGGTGGGTCAAGAGATCCACCCATCAGGAAGGGATCACATCTATCACAGTGTGATTCTTGGGGTGTCCTGTGCAGGGCCAGAAGCTGGACTCAATGTGGGTCCCTTCCCACTAAGGAGATTCTAGGATTCCACAATCTTTGTGCCCAAGTTATGTCACTTCTATACCCAGTTCCTTCTATGTGGGAGCAGCAAACTTCCCTGGCATAGTGAGTTGCTCGACTCTTACAGGTTTTCTGGTTGGTGTTATCAAAAATGACAAATCTCATAATCTGCCCCCTGAAAACACCTCTTCTGAGATGTTACCCAGGCCCAACACTTTTAGAAGTGATAGCTAAAAGGCTCAGAGTGTTGCAGCACTTGAAAACAGACACATCCAGCAGTTAAAGCCCCATTCCACTGTGCTCATAAATACTTACCTTCTCTAATGCAGTCTTTTTAATTTACATAGCTCAGTGCTTAGGAGGCTGAATTATGACAGAATTGGGAAAACCCAGGATTTTAAAAATATATTTTATGAGATCATCAACAAGCTGGATGGGGACCAGGCTCAAGCAGAGACTAGCTCAGCCAAACTGTAGTAAAGGTGGTCCCTTGTATCAAATCTGTCTTCATATGCAAGCCCATTAGAATAAAAACAGGCAAAAATAATTGTCATGGAGATACTATTTAGGAAGTCTGCTTCAGATCCTTGTCATAAGTAATTATTTCTCTCTGTTGTGATCTATCTCTGCTGTCTACCATTCCAAAGAAAAGGTCAGCCCAACGCTGCCAAGGCACTGAGCAGCACAAGGGGCTGTGTTTAAAGGTATCTGCTTGAAGAGAGGGTTCAGATAGTAATTCAGGTGATTCAAAATGTATTTGTAGTTTGTAAGTGGTGACAAACTAGCAACAAAACATGGCACTGGTAGGGGGGTGTATAATTCAGCAGGATATCAGTGGGAGAAAAGGGGGAAAACAAGCTTTAAAATAATCTGAATGTGCTAGAAGTAATAAGAGCTAAATTGTGCCCTTATTTCTATTTCATAATTGCTGTTTGGCCCAGACACATTCGTATGCTGTGACTGCAGGCCTTGTAAAGACTCTTAGGGTTCATCCTAGACTAACCAATATAATCTGCTCTTTTAAAGAGGTCCAGCCACAAGGCTGGGCAGGCAGAAGAGCTGACTCTTCAGGCTTACTGGGGATTTACACAGGGTTGCAATTTTCACTGTCATGTTCTCTTGGTTCTGTGGTGAGAATCTGTTTTTGTCTTAGTAGCAATTTTTCTATTCTTTGCATGAGACAAGGTAGGAAATCTTGTTTCCGTGTGCTGGGTTACACGTGTCTCTTACAGCTGCTCTTCACTCTGCCAGCAGACAGGCAAGGAACAGTCAATGTTTTTTGGTTTTTTTTTGTAAGATACTCAGAGAGAATTTCTAAAAGGAAAACCATTTTGAGTCTGATTCAGAGGCCTTAACATAGACATCTAGTGCTTTTGAAACACTCTGTGGTATCCAAAACTTCTACAAGGGCATGGCAACTTTGACATGGACCTTTCTGACATCTCTACCTTTCTGAAGCTACAGCTGGAGGCCTGAAGGGGCACCTCAGGGCATCCTGAACGGCCCCAAATCTGTCTATAGGTACCTTAATCAAATATTAAAAATGTACTACTAGGTTTTTTGAATGCATCCAGGTAGAGAGCACTGCATTTATTTCTGCATTTATTTGTTGGAGCTCATGGAGTTCTTATCTACCCTCTTGTCAAAATCTCTTTCCCAGCCCTGCTATCTGCTTGTCACCTCTGCCCAGCTATGTGCTTAAACCTTTTATATTTAACATTCCCTACTGAGAACTGTGTATTATAAAATGCAGCTGCAGGAACGGACAGCTAGGTTATTCTTTATTGTATGCACATCCAGTATAGAAATGAAAAGTAGTCCGTTTCTGAACTGCAGTACAATCAGGACTCTGCCACAAATCAGATTCTCTTGTAAACTCCTGCACCACAAACTCTGCTAACCTTCAGCTGTCAATATTTGAGGTGGAATATTGATTTAAAGGTTTTAGCTCAGACATATGGCACACAGGAAAAGCACTGTGTTCATCATATATGGGATTCGTCTTATGTCAATTTAGGAACCTAAGTTAGGTGTCTGCTCTGAACTGCTCTTTTAGGTCTTGCTTACAGATACAGTCAGACTCTTTAGAAGGTTGGTGTTGCCTTGTAAACTTAAGAGTGGGATTCAATTCCAGTTAAGGGCATCTAAATCCAGATGTCAACTTATAAATATGCTCATGTGAGGTAGCATGAGCTACCTCTTACGAGCATATTTATGTGATGTTTACATCACATAAACAATGTGATGTAAACATACACATTAATTCAGTCAGTGCAATCAAACTGATACCATTAATTTCAGTCAGTGGAATCTAACTGATACCATCAGTGAGAACCAGAAAGCTTCAGGGTGGTCAGCGTAAGTGATGTGTAGGCTCCACTGATGTATTGGTTACGTTTCTGTCTGCTTAAATGGGAACTCGGATATTTGGCACATATCCAGACAACTGTACATGAACTCCTTATAATCTCAAAATTTATCCTTCTTATGTATTAGATTCCATAACTACAAGTGTCTAGTGGGACTTGGGATGTCCAAGTGATCTGCTGCTCACAAGGATCCAGAAGATATAATGCAGGACACTGATAGGGAGATCATTCTGGATTGGCAGTTGGAGGTCAAGCAGGATATCATGAGGATATTTCAAATGGTACTAAATATCTTTGATGAGGGTGGTAAAACATTGACACAGGTTGCTCAGAGAGATGGTAGATGCCCCAACCCCGAAAACATTAAAAATCAGATTGGATGGGGCTCTGAGCAGCCTGGTCTACTGGAAGATGCTTGTGATACCAAATAATGACTGAGGTTATGATCATAGATGCACTCTATCAGATATTTGCTTTTTCCCAGGCAGAACTGACCATTATCTTTCATGGTGTTTGTTTATTTCATAAAAAGATGTGGAAACCAAGATTCTGAACCAAGAATTTATAACATGATGGACTTTACAAGATACGAGACTTAATTAGTAATTATGCTGGGACAAACATGGGGACCATAATTGGAAATTAGTGTGAGAAAGGATCATAAGACTTGGTCCAGAGAGAAAGGTAAGGAGACCACTAGCTTTATTTGTTGCTGGGTTTAGCACCTGGTTTATTAAAATTAGAAGGTATAAAGTTACTTCAGTCCTCCTTAATGGTACTGTAACCCCAGTGGAATAACGCTGGAAGCACACAATTTGTCTCTACACTTGTTATTATTTCCACCTTGGCAGATTATTGTCACTAAAAGCAATACTCAGGACATGCTGAACGCTGGCATATAAAATCCAGAGAACAGCATGTCCAAGGTAGCAAAGGCTGAATGCTGCTACATCCATATGTTTCAACAAAATTAGTGTTTTTTAAGGAAAATTTGGTTCTTTGGACTATTCAGTTTAAAATACAAGTTTCCATCTAACAAAATACTTTGAAGCCACAGCAGATTGTTAAGGTTCTTTATCTGACTCACACTTACTCATAAAAAAGGAAAATGGGGATGAGAAATTAAAGGTAACCCTCTCACTCTGCTCATCTATTCCAAATGTCATGAAATGCAATAAAACTGAGGCGCTCTGCAGGCTGGCCCCTTCTCACCCATCTGCTGGCTGACTGCATGTCTCAGCAGCTGAGTAGAGTAGGGGGGTGTGACTTCCAACCAAGAGAAAGTTCAGTCCAATACTCCACCACCAAGGTTCATAGAGTCAAGTGGGGTGGAATTTGCTTCTGAACAGAAGACAGGCATTAGAGCATCAGCCAGAAGGGCATCAGCCTGGTGCTGGGCATGTTGAATGCCAAAGGGCTGAGACCAAGGGCTTGTTGTTGGTCACACAGGGGTCCCAGCTCATGTGTTGTCAGCCACAAGTGCTTTGCCTCCATCTCTCAGAGACAGGGGAAAAAAGATCTGGTAAAGCGAATGCCTGGGAGTGAGTGCTCCTGCCAAATGTCTGAAAAATGGGGTAACAAACGGAGAATGCTTATTGTTAGGAAAGCAGGGGAATAGTCGCATGTGTGTTGCTCAAAGCTGTCAAAAGATGCACAGAAAGAAGATGGGGATGAGGAGGCACTGGCAGAGGCTGCCCAGAGAAATTGTGGATGCCCAATCCCAATTCAGTGCCAGGTTGGATGGGGCTCTGATCAACCTGGTCTAATGGAAGGTGGGGCAGGGGGCTGGAACTACATGATCTTTAAGGTCTCTTCCAACCCAAACCATTCTATGATTTTATGAGTTATTGTCCCTCAGCTCAGACGGCTCATACCTGGATTTCAGGAACAATAGGACCTTTCTCTGAGCAGGAAGTTGCAAAAGCAGTGAGCGGAGAAGGAGAGACCACAGGGTTGGGCCGGGCGAAGTTACTGAGGTCACAGCTTGGGATCTCATTCTCTTCGTGCCTCATGACTATGGTTTCCATCACAAAGAAACGATCCCACGGCAACCACAGCGTGTGCTCCTGGGTGATGAAGGGAGCCCGCTCAAAGTGCAGGATAATGGAGATTCCACCAATGGTAACAAGATCAAAGCTGTTTTAAGAGATGGAATACAAAATTAGTGCAAGCACTACCCCAACTGCTTGTTTCAACTCCCTAGCAAGGACCCCAGAAAAACAACTGCAAGAAATGTCATCAGTCTCATTTTATGAACCTAAAATCTGCAGCCCAAATAGGGTTTACCTGAGTAACAGAAAGTGTTGGAGAGGGGAGTCAAGCTCAGCTTCTTTGTCCTCATGTATATTGAAATCATACCCATCTCTTCTTTGAAACATGTTTATCTTTATTGGTGCTTTTCTAGCACCAACTTATTTTGGCCATATATACTAGTTTTCTTTTTTTTTTATTTATTTTTTTTTAACATATAGATTATCCAAACAAATGCACAGATTGGATCAATTCACGTGATGAAGTAAACTACTTGGCAAGAGGTTTCTCTGACACATCACCATATGAATTGTCTTGGCATCTCTGCTAACCTGACTAATACCTAATGCAGCCCAGGGAATACAGAGAGCCCAGTCATGGACTGAACCTTGTCTACTAGAAATACATACAGTGCAGGGTGTCTGTGTGCCACAGCACTCTGGACACCATCTTTTTTGACTCTTAAACATTTAGAGCAGGGCAGATGAATCACTGCCTGTGGTCTCTGACTTCACCCTAAGCTACCTCCTGCCAAGTGGCTTATCTGCCTGCGTTAGTGTTGGATAACAGACAGCCTTCCAGAGCTGTGTGAAAAAATGTTACCTTGATAAGGAAAATGTTCATCCTCTGGATGAAAAGATGTTGGGATAAGGTTCTGGTAGTTTTCTTAGTTTTGTATTTAAACTTAATACCTTGTCACAGATGGAGATTTTATCAAGTACCACAGGGATATATCTACTATGCATAGACCCAAAAAAAGAGGTGTTAAGTAAGAAAGGAAAGGATTTCAACAGAAATTGATGACCTCTTGTTTTTGCTCCTTTGTGTTTTTCTCACTGTCTCTTCAGTTGCAATGCCAAACGTGCTTCAGGCAAAGAAAGTTTTCTCATCCCTGCTTCTCACTTTCATGCTTGGTACTGCTGTATGCCACTCTCACTGAGAGTTCATGCATGTGATCACACTCTGGTTTCAGCAGAGCTGCTCATGTGCTTAAAGAGCTACAAGCTTAAGTGCTTCTCTGGCTGAGAACTGGGATCTGCCCAAAGCCAGACTTGATGCACCTTGTAAATACATGGTAAGAAAGAAGGTGAAAAAAGTATATAAAATTATTTTTTAAAATTAATTGTGAGTCTTTCAGATTGGGTGCAAAATCCCAGAGGAGCAACAATGGGCATGAACTATTTCTAAAAAAAGTCTTTGTCAAGCAATCGTTTTTATTTCATGGTTTATGGACTGAGGTGCCATTTAGGAAATAGAATTATGAAAAGGTTATTCATTAAAGAATGTTGAATTGAGTCCATGAGAGGAAGTGGAAAGCACTTCAAAAAGCCAAAGCCATGTTTATTCTACCACTCAAGTTGGGGCATCATGTTCCCAGACCTATGGAGCTTGGCTTGCAGCAGCCTCAGGAGTAACCTGCTGGTCCCTGCCAGCAAAGCTGCACAACGTTTGTATCCTGATGTGAATGTTTTTAACAGTCAATTAGCGTTTGGCAACTCCTTCAGCTGGTAGGGAGATGCTTGCTCTGCATGGATCCGGGCACTGAAAGGGCCAACAGGAGGGAGGAAATAAACATTACAAATGATTCTCAACAAGTTTTTAGGCAAGTTGGAAGAGGTCTTATTTGCAAACACCTTTGTTTCATCCCTTTGGCTTCACTGAGCCTGGATCAGGGATGGAGTCTGCTGGGGGAAATGGCTTCTCCTGCATCCTCAAAACAGGACCCAGAAGGGAAAGCACCACCTCCATGTCAGCTGTGAAAACAGAACCATGCAGTATTTTTTAGCAAGCAGTGTGGCTCACAAGCTGGTTTTCCCGGAGCCCCAGGGTGCAGCTTTCAAGTTACCTTGATGAACTGAAAAAAAGGTAAACCCAAAAACAAACAGAAAAAACCAAACTGAAAACCTCCCAGTTTCCGTCAGTGCAATTAAATTTAACAAAAGGAAAACTGTCCTGGGATTGAAGAAATAAGATAATTTTATTTCTGTTTTTGCTGCTCATCTCTGATGTATTTTTTATCACTCTGTAAAAATCATACTTGTTGTACAGTTGTTTTGTTGTTTTTCTTTAAAGACTCTGGAGAGACAAGCTGAAGGATGAAATCATCTATTTATCCAAAGCAGGCTCAAAAAATAAAAATCCCACAGGAAAGTGTAACCCTTTCTCATCTCTCTTCTCTGAAAGTTCATTGTTTTTGGTATTTCTGAGAAAGCCATGCAAAAGGTGCTGAATGCAACATGGAAAAAGTCTGGAGACTTTCTTGCTGTTTTATTAACAGTTGTTCCTAAAACCCAGGGATACTTGCAGCCTCTCTAAACTACCACTTTAATCAAATGTAAAACTTTATTTAAAAATGTGGTTTATAATCCAGTACTGATGCTTTGAACTGCCTGTTAACTTTGCTTTACAGAGAAATGCACACAACAGAGTAGTTTGAGAGTTGTCACTTTATATTTATGCCCTGTTATATAAACAAAGCCTCTGGTGCAGCAATTAGGCTAAAAACATATGCAAGCCTTGAAGTTATAGGAGTTTTGCTCAGTCTAAGTAATGTGACTTAAACAGAACCAGGGTCTCACTGTTTCAGGCTGTATCTGAGCAATGTTATAGGAGAGACCTGGAATAAAGTGAGTCCCCATACAGAGGTGAAAAATTTACCTCACTGTAATTCTAAAACTGAAATTTTACTTACTCATTTGGAGACTTTAGCATGCCAAAAAGAAACCCCAAAATCCCCAAACCTAGAGCAACAAAATCAGCTTAGGAACTAATCTAGCTAAACTGATGCAATTGTATCTTTAAATTCCCTTACTTTAAAACCCCAGTTATTTTCCTGCTATCAGTAAACTGATTTACTAAATCAATTTAAGGCAACTCAGTGCACATTTTCAAGAATAGATATTCCTATGGTGAATATGCCAAATAATAAACCTGCTGAGTTTTATGCAGTTATCTCATGACCCCTGGAACAAGGTAACTGCTTGCATGTGTGCTCCCATTTATTCTCCACACCAGGATGACACTGAAGGTGGGAGAGATGACCCTGTATGACTGTGCACTGCTCTGGACTGGGAATGCTCTGGACTGTATGCAGCCTGCCAGTGTAGTTCAGGAGAACCTGCTTCTTGTCTAAGAGCATCAATTTCTTACAACAAACTTGACTCAATCGTATGAAAGGTTCGCTGTACAAAAGCTGATGAGACATGCTCTATTAAAAAAATTACTCAAACCCATAGAAAAGATAATAGAAATTGGAATGGCATTAATTCTTTACATTATTTTGAAAGTTCTTTAAAAATAGTATTAAATAAATACTATAAAAATCAATAAGGAACACAAGTAAATATTAACTCTCTTTCACAGGCTGGTTCTCTAGCCTGGGAAAGTCAAGAGATGCATCTAATGGTATGCACTAAATCAGCAGTGTGGCTGGGATTAGAAATTAGGGATGTCTGACAACACTTTCTGCCTTGACAAATTTTAGCTTGAATGGCCTTATATAGTTCAAGGTAATTTACAGACAACTGAGGAAGTCACTGGACTCAAGGATGGATTTCATGAGACTTTGAGTGACCTGGTCTAGTGGGAGTTGTCCCTGCTCATGGCAGGGGAGTTGGAACCAGATGATCTTTAAGGTCGCTTCCAACTCAAATCATTCCATGGTTCTATGGATTTTGGTGTTCTTTAACTTGCCCATTTATGGACAAGTGATTTTTGTCACAGAGTACCTACAGAGTACACAGATGCACTGATGTGCCTATTCATTTGAGAAACTACCTGCATGTATCCCTTAGCCAAGTTAGAAGGTATATTCATTATTCTGCAGGCTCAACACTGCAATTGGAAAATTTGTTTGATGTTTGTGCACCAGGTTTCTGTAGAAGCAGATTGACTTGAGAGGAAGATGAAAAAAGTAAAATCAGAAGAGCTGACATCACAGAATAAGGGGATACACTGACCCCCACCAGCTGCCTACAGAAATCACAGCTTTGGGATGAATCCCACTTGGTCACAGATTCCTTGCTCTGAGACAGCTGATCTCTGTCATTTTTATCACTTAGAGCTGAGTATCTACTGGGGGCTGAGTCAGCAAACTGCATCCCTGAGATCCTTGAAACTAATTTAGCTTCTGAAGGCTGGCAGCCACTTCAAGGAACCAGGAGTCCACTGAAGCCTGGTGGAGCATACTGATGCTCTGGCCGCATTGCCTTCTGCCCTGTGCCCTGGCTCAGCTGGACCTTGGGAAGGACATAGCATGGAAGGAGCACCCCTAGCTTAAACTGCCAGTAGAAGTAGATTTGTAGTGGGGGAGTTTACCTCTCACCACCCAAGAATCAGAAAGAAATAGTTGCTTGAATAACACAAAGGTCTGGAGTCTGGATAGCAGCAGTCACCTCCATGCTCTGTCCCTTTAGCTTTCATGTTTGCTGGCTAGAGGTCCAGTTTACAATAGGGACCCTCTGTGCTAGGTACAGAACAACTGCAATGCAAAGAGATTGCTTCTTTCCTCAGAGTACTTGTAATCTAAATTAATGATTACCTGCTGCAGTTGGGTGTTGTATACACACAAGGAAATGGATAGAAAAAAAGGTTATGTCAGGCATTGTTGTCCAGCAATCTTCTAGTCATATTTATCTGTTCTACTGGATACAGATTTTGTGCTGGTCCATACACAGCAAGCTGATCATGAGAGTGTGATTTGGATCCCACTTTCCCACAAAGTAGAATTAGTGAGGTTGCCAGAGATACCCTTAAGCACAAATGTTCAAATTTCCTCCTTTTTGCAGTAATGCCTAAGCTACTGGCAATAAGAAGACACCAGCTACAGGGGTGTCCTTTTCCTGGAATGCCTCTTTATCATCTGCATTTTATTGTCATAACATTGAAGAGTTGGAGCATCACTTGGAAAGCCTCCCAGTCCCCACCAGTGTTACAGTAGGTGCAAACATTCCTGAGTGTGAACAGGACAGCATCAAGCACACGTTGCTAGCACATGTTCTTTTTCACTACAATTCCATCTGTTTCTCTGGCCAGCTCAAATGAAAGTTGTGGATTGGAGAGGTGCTAAAATCCATAAATCCTCTCCCAAGTGCTAGTGGTTAGTAGTCAATACGTAGAGCATATGCAGCTGGAACCCCTTCTGTTATGTTTTTGTTCTTAAAAGAAAGGGAGCCAATTAGCAGTGACAAACAAAAGATAAGATGAAAGGCATTCCCAATTTGCACTGCTTTTCTTTTGGTTGAGCATGATTGCTCAGATTCTGCCTCTAACACAACCATAATCTTAATGACTTCCTCCTAATAATTTCAACATGAATTAGCAAGAATAGATCTGCTGGGAGCAGGAGACATCTTTTTATATGCATGGGCACTGTGTTACCAAATTGCTGGCTAAAGATTCTAGGTGATATCACCAAGTTAATAATAATAAATAATAGGAAGGGAAGGGAAGGGAAGGGGGAAGGGGGAGAAGAGAAGAGAAGAGAAGAGAAGAGGAGAGAAGAGAAGAGACGAGAAGAGAAGAGAAGCGAAGAGAAGAGAAGAGGAGAGAAGAGAAGAGACGAGAAGAGAAGAGAAGCGAAGAGAAGAGAAGAGGAGAGAAGAGAAGAGACGAGAAGAGAAGAGAAGCGAAGAGAAGAGAAGAGGAGAGAAGAGAAGAGACGAGAAGAGAAGAGAAGCGAAGAGAAGAGAAGAGGAGAGAAGAGAAGAGAGGCTATTCATTTGTTAGGAAAGTACAAGGATCATCAAGTCAAGCTGCCTTACCAGTTCAGGGCTGATCAAATGAAATCACATTATTTAGGGCATTGTCCAAATGCCTCTTGAACACTGACAGGCTTGGGACATTGAATGCCTCTAGGAATACTGAGGTTACATTTGGTGTTGGTGGCCTGGTGTGCAACTGCAGTGAGCTACAGTTGAGCTTCTTGGGGGGCAGGAAGCCAAGCCAAAACCTGAGGCAAGAGGCAGGGAACTACCGAGAGACCACATGGAGAGACGACAGGAGCCAACAACTCCAGACTTTCCCATGCTTAGATTGTGAGTGGATAAAAGTCCGGGGCTTCCTTTGTCCAGGGTCCCTCCTTGCAGGCATCAGCTTGCGCTGTTTTGTTATTTACTTATTGCACCAAGACTAAATTGTTTTAGGGGACACTGCTAGGGGAAACCTGAGGTCTAGTGGGTAAGGAACCCCGCTGTGACTGTGTGAGTGTGGGATGTGGCTGCAAAGGGACTTTGGTCCCAGCTCAGGTGGTGCGAGTGTGACTGCCGGAGTGGCTTCTGGATAGTTGGATAGGGAAATTTCCTTAGCTGGAAGCCTGTTTCAGTGTTTAAGCACTCTCTCAGCTAAGAAATGTTTCTTCATGTCCAGTCTAAATCTCCCCTGGTGCAGTTTTGAACCATTCCCACAAGTCCTGCCAGTGGATACCAAGGAGGTGAGCTCAGTACTTCCCTCTCCACACTCGCTCCTCAGGAAGCTGTAGGAAGCAATGAGATCACCCTTCAAGTCTCCTTTTCTCTGAACTGAGAAACTCGGAGTCCTGAGATGCTGCTCACAGGATATTCCTTCCAGCCTTGTCACCACTTTCTTGCCCTCCTCTGGACACACTAAGGGACCTGAACACCTTTCTTAAATTGTGGGCCCAGAACCGCATGCAGGGTTCTGGGTGAGGCTGCACCAACACTGGATACAGCAGGACCACCACCTCTTTGACTGGCTGGTCATGCTGTGTTTGATACACCACAGGATGGAGTTTGTCCTCTTGGCTGCCAAGACACACTGCTCTAACACCTTCTATTCAGCTGTTGCTGGCCAGCACCCCCAGATCCCTGTCTGCAGGGCTGTTCTCCAGCCACTCCTCTCCCAGTTTATACTTGTGCCTGGTGTTACTTTGTTCCAGGTGCAGAAAATCCAGCATTTTGAATTTTTAAAATGCATCCCATTCATCACAACCCAATGCTCCAATATATCTAGATCCCTCTGCAAGATCTCTTGTCCCTCAGGAGCATCATGAGTACCTCCCAGTTTGGTACCATCAGCATCTTGCTAATGGTGCATTCAACTCCTGCATCCAGGCTGATGATAAATACATTGAACAAGACTGGCCCTGGAATTGAAGAGCAAGGAATAGCACTGGGGACCGGTCACCATTTAGATGCAGCCCCAAAACAACCAACAATAACGCACCAACATTTCAAAAGGCATGAATAATAAACGTGCTCTTGGGAGGAGCTTCTCTTTAGTGGTCATGGCAATAATGCTCTTACTGCCGCCTGAACACTGTAAATTCTGTACAGACATCCTACCTGCCATCTTGTCTGCTGATTGTGTATCCAAACAGAGGATTGTTGACAAAGCTGATGTTGACTCCAACTAAAGGGGTCCCATCTGCTGTCATCACCTGGCCTCGAATCACACATGCATGTCTGCAAGAAAGAGAAAAATGATAAGAAATAGTAAGTCTTTTTGACAAATGCAGTTTCTTCCTCTGTTGATGTGGCTAGGAATTCCTATGGATTAGAAAGCCAAGGCCTTTATAACCTGTAAATCTGGAGGCCATGCTGTGTGTTTTGATGGTGTGATGCTGCCCTTGAAAGCTTTCTCAGGCATTGTGTAAAAACCTTGGATAATCAAAGTAAAGTTTAAAATTACCCTACTAAACAAAAGCAACTGCTGCAGCATATACTTAATTAAGTATAAACTTCTGTAGGATTCACAACATCACACTGGAATTTCACAGAATCTCCTGAGATGGAAGGGCCTCAGAAGGATCATGGAGTCCAGCTCCTGGTCCTACACAGAACAGCCCTCAAATCATACCATGATCTTGAAAGTGTTGTCCAAACACTTCTGCAACTCTGGCAGGCTTGGTGCCATGACACTCCTCAGGAGCCTCAGGAGGTGGTTCCAGTGCTCAGCCACCCTCTGAATGAAGAACCTTTTCCTAACAGCCAATAGTGTCTTAACAGTATTGCCCTAATTAAAAGCAAGGTGCATTTTAAAATCAAAGAGAGCTGAAAATTACCACGCAGTACATGGACATACTTAAGGCACAAAAGCTACAGAAGATCCTGACCAAGACTTGGCAGCTCATTTCTTTCCATTTGGGAAAACCATGACACAAAATTTGCCAGGTTCAGAAAGCTTCCTTACAACCTGCCTGGGGAGCTGAGCACACTAATAGGATGAGCTTTTTCTTCCCCTCTTTTCTTCCCATGTTTGGCAGATTGCACCATTTTATAGGCTACATCTATTCCAACTACTCTGTGATCTGTAATATGCTCTTTTATCTAAGGATTTCAAGGACCTTTACAAACACTGATTAATACAGCCAGATTGGTATTGTACAGAGAGAGGAAATAAAACATGGAATGATTTCAGTTGTCCAAGGTCAGTCAGAAAACCTGCAGTAAAGCCAAAGACAAATTTTCTTGGTTCTCATTCCAAAGTCTGTTTCCAGACTTCTAAGTCATTACCACGTTGCTACCTTAGGAACTTCCCATAAAGACAAAACATCACATGTCTGTGAGAGTGTCTGAACCCAATTTTTGGCTGAAGGTAACTATTTTTCTGAGCAGCAACAGCAAATTGTAGTGTCAGTGTGCTAACATGACCCAATGAATAATTTTTCTAAGTGCTGTCCTGCCGGAGAGCAGAGATTGAAAGCCAATGTTTCTCCAGGTGCGGAACCAGATCTCAGCTAGACTAAATCATCCCAGCTGCACTTCAACAGAGCAATGGTGCTTTGCTGGTTCACTGAGGCAAAGGATGATTTCTGCAATGTTTTGTAAAGATGATTTCATAAACACAGATCATTAGGGAAAGAGCCAGTTATTTTCTTACAGTCTACCTAAAAATCTGAGATTGTAATGCAAGGAGATAAAGTATAACTTCTATTTAATAAAGGCTGTGCAATTTTTACATTCCACAGTACAGCAAACAGACCATTTGCCAGCGAGTCTTAAAAAAATCCTGCTGATCTAAACAGAGAGCTCCAATATTATCAAAAATTACAGCAGCAATGCCAAAAAGTGTCTGCAATCTAAGATGTGACTATATTCACATATAATTTTGGAATAGGTCACAAGAAAATTAGATACTGGAAATGATTTTTATGTCACTGAGTTTTCTCTGATGTATCATCACTGACTTAGGAGTGATGTAGAAAAAGACTTGGACTAAATTTGGAGCTAATAATCCAACAATCCTGCAATGGTTTGGGCTAGAAGGGATATTAAAGATCATGTAGTTCCAAACTGCCTGCCTTCCACTAGAGTGCTTTACTCAGAGCCCCATCTAACATGGCCTTGAACATTTTCTGGGATAGGGCCAATGAGGGGAATAATATCCTTAATACTTCTTTTGCTTCTCCCATTAAGGGCTCTAACTCAGCTTTCCATATATAATAACTGGAAAACAATAATCCAGTACAGTATTATGCACATCACTCTTTAACACACAGGTAGAGCAAAACTCAAAAGGATCAAGATGCCATGGAATATGCTTGGAAAAATGTCAATGCTTAGAATAACCCCAATGAAGTCAACAGGTCACCATCTGCAGTGCAATTTTTGTGTAAAGTGAACGTGTAAAGAGAACATTTTTGTGTAAAGAGAACATTTTTGTGTAAAGAGAAATCTTTTGTGTAAAGAGAACATCTCTGAGCCAATAGTCAACCTAGGCTCTCTCTTCTCAGTTTTTTCATGATCTGCTCCACTCTGTCCCATCTTCTTTTCCATCCTTCAGAGAGACCAGATATGAGTTTGAAAATGCCTTCTCTCAGCTTATCAAATGAGCTGAACATTTTGTGGAAGACAATGAATCACCGCAAACTCTTTCATGAATACTAACACCTGAGTACAAAAGAACTGGTGTTCTGTACCACACACTCAAGTTAACACTGCCCTACACACAACACACGTCCAGGCAGCTTTAAAGTTCTAAGTTACAGTGCAAGCAGATTGGCCTAGACCCTCAGCTCAGTAAATGGGGGATGTGCTTTATATCCACAAGCATCTGCTCCATTACATATCACTGACAGCTATTTCTACAACAAGCATCAGCACAAGGTGGGCAAACAACAAGTCTCCTCTCACCTTGGCAGCTGTAGCAAATGCATTTGACACCCCACCCTTGGAAAGAGATTCAGTTCCCATCCTGGCTGAGGCTTCCCAGCACTCATCCAACACTGCTAACACACCTACGTGCTCATGGACTTGGAGGCTGTCTCTTCTCAGAGAAGCAGCTCATCAGCAAATCCAGCTGCATCCCCACCCTCCTGAGGACTGTAACCATTGCTTTATTTCCATGCTTTAAGGAAAGATGTTACCCCTAAGGGGACATCATTCCCAACCCACAGTGATAAAAAGAAGATGGAGCAAGATACATGAATCTGAATCCATATAAAAGAGAGAGAGACGGAAACTGGAGGAAAACTCAAGCCCAGACTGTCTCTGATGAGTCTCAAATCTTCTACTTCCCTGGGTGATAAAATTTGTCCCACTTGAATAAAACACAGTACATTGGAAGCAGCTGGCTTCTCTAGTGTCAACATGTCCTTTCTGGAGACAAGATCGAGTGTCTACAACGGCCCAAGCCCCCCAGGAACCTGGTTAATGCTAATTTAGTCAGCTATTTCCTTCAGTTGACCTTGGTCTAAATGCAATTACCCTGCGAAGAAGTTAAGTGTACTGCTAAGATGCTCAGCTCTGCTAGAAGGTCTCCAAATACATTTACATAAAATTATCTCTCATGTTAATAGAAGAGATTTATTCCATCAGTCCAGGCCTGCTAGTTCAGAGTGTTTTCTGCAGTTGAAGAAAATTCAATTTCTTGTAGCCTGAGCCTCATATTTTCATTAAATTATTAACAGATTCCACCTGTTGCCTCTGGTTTTTGGTTTGTTTTTGTTTGTTTTGTTTCCTTCACTACTGTTACATGAGACTGTATGGATTCTTGTTTTACAAGGAAAAGCAGTCTCCATTTTTTCCTCTTCTTTAATTAGACTTTTCCTTTAAAATTTTTTTATTTGTCCATAAAAACTTGCTTGAAAGACCAAATCATGGTCAAAATGCTATTTACAATGCCAGATGGTGTATCAGACAATTTTACACTGTTGCTTTGCGAAGTTACCCTTTACTCCCAAGAAAATTAAATTAAGTCTTTCTGCTAAGATCTGGGCCACAGTGGCAAAACAGACAGGAGTACTCTGATGCCTTTATGCTCCTATTGCTCAGAGACAAATAAAATTTGACAGACTGTCAACAAAATTCAAGCAGACCAAACCAGCCTTAGAACAGAAGCCAGAAAAGTAAATTCCACAAAAGCCATTTCACCTCATGGGAGCACATTAAAGATTTGTCTTTAATACTAACTCTGATCCAGTGTCTCACAACCTAGACACTGGTCCTTCCAACACACTTTAGTCACAGATGTTTTCTGGTGACAGTGTGCCTGGCATTTGGAAACAAGGGAAAAATACTGTTTCTGCCGAGCAGTTTTCACTGTAAGAAGAAAATTCCATGCATCCTCAATCCCACGTTTTCTGCAAGAAATGTACGTTCTTTCCTTGACTGAGGATAGGTGCCATGGGAAATTTCACTCCAATTAATCTCTGTTGCTCCTCAAAATACTTCCCACATACCTCATTATCATTTAAAGGTTTCAATGTGTGAAAATGGTTATCATGACTGCTTAGCCATCCTCAGCCAAGTTATTAATAACAAATATTTTAATTTGGCATTATAAATATTTTTGAACTTACCATTTAATATTTTATTAGTATATGTAAATATACATGCATATATATAGGATTGATCCTTCTTCTCAGGATAAAACTTCAACGGAGCTCCATAGAACAAAAACCCAGAAAGTTATAATTCATTGGGAAGAATGTTATTAATGAAAAATAATCTCTATAGCCTTTCCATGTGACAGCAGTCATGTCAGCTGGTCTTTTTATGTCTCTTTACTGCACCTGCAAAATGAGAATCCCCTCCTTACAGAGACATAGGAAGAATAATTGTAGTAATCTGATAATCCCTTTGCATAGGGTTTTTTACATTCTCATGGCACTCACCTGTGATCTGCTCAGTCTGATAAGTGCCTAGAAGTACAGACATGCTACAATCTCTTGTCTTTAGCCTTGGCTGTGGCCTTTTTGCTTGAGAGTAAGAGAGGGTAAAGCAAAATGTACCTCGTCGATTTTGGGTGGAATGTGCCTGTCTAATGTTAAACAACCTCAGGGCAGTCTTGTACCAGGATAGACAGAACACTTGGTAGAATGCCAGGTAAAAGCTAAGGGCATACAATCAAACACATGGACACAGAGAAAATGCCTGAGCTAGCAGATGAAGGACAAAAGAAGAAGAGGGAAGATCAGAACACAGAGACGTTCAAGTTCATTGCTTGTGGCAGTATTTCCCTC